TCTTCTATGATATTCATTAATATGCATCGACTACAACAATGACTTTTATAATAATTATTCGATGTACTAAATTTTTTTTCAAAAGAAAAACCGAAAAAAATAATTCATTTTAAATATTGTTGATTCGTAGATTTAAATAATTGGCGTTTAATGATTTTAGGACTTTTTGTAATTTCATCATTGTCGTTATTTATGTTTAGCGCACATTTTTGTACCGCCCAGAAGAAGGGGGTTGTTTTTGATGATAATGCATGCTCTCATATAAAAAACGATCTCTGATTTCTCAGGACTCGCTTAGTAGTCTGTAAGAGTCACTGCCCTGATGATAATGTAGATGGTTCACTCGGTTTAGCTGCGGTTCAGGTCTTACTCTCAGATGGGAACTTCTCATGTGTTCTCTATTGATAGAAGATTCCCGGATATAATACTTAAAAATTAAACCACGTGTTATAACATTTTTTTTAACTAGCTACTTTTTCAGATTAAGTAAACATCGATTGCAAAAAGAATTTATCGTAAATTCTCATCTACAAAATAACTTTTTTAATTATTTCAAGAAAATTCAAAAAAGTATTTTCTTACACAATTCATCGAAAGTAACGAAAAAAAAAAACTCAATTTTATAGATGACATAGCACGCCATTTGATTTTAAACTTTTTTAGTATTTCAAAATTTTTTTAAATAGTTATTCAAAAATGAGAATTTAGTTATTTGCAGAGTCATTTGGGACGTGTACATGGCGCAAAGTTTTACTTTCATCCGATGATGGCAGTTTTAGAAAGATACTTCAAACATTAGAAGAAAAATTCTGAATAAGATTTAGGCTATCAAATGTTTATTAATATTTTGATCAAATATTTGATCTACAATTTCTTACGCATACTTATGTGATTTTTTTATTAAACAATTGATAAAAACAATTTTATGGTTTTGCGATTATGGCAAGTCAAAATTGGCGCAATTTTATAATTTCAAACATTTTTTGCATGTAGAACAATTTGAAAATATTGAATTTCCAAACAACAGTGAAGTGGCACCGTTTTTTTACAGATATCGAACGATATCTGTTTTTGGCGGATTTCACTCACTTTTTTCAATAAGTTTTCATATTAGATTAGATAATATTGATTTTAAAAAAAACTAAAAGATATCACGGAATTACCGTGGTAACTTAACTTTACATAAAAGATCAATAGATAACAAAAAATGTTTTTTTAAAATTTCTTTTCTTTCGTCGGTAACTTTAGTTCAATTAAAGCTCGTATTTACGGTAAAACAATTTAAATTTTTCGTGATGATCTCTAGTTCGATTATTTATAACAAATTCTATTTGTTTGAATATAGACGTTTGTTCAAATTTATTTTTCATTTTTAGCAATAATTACAGCAAGGCAAGTTGATTTGAGATAAGTTGAGCGAAGTCGAAGTGATACCAATTTTTTCACACTGCAAATCCAAATGTGTTATTCTTGTAGACACTTTTAACACGCTAAGCCTCTTCAATGTTAAATGCCGTAAAAAACTATAGATTTTTCACACACTATGAAATGTGTAAAAAGTGTCTACAAATAATTTATTGTTTGTTTATGGACATTTTACATTGAATACGCTTTATGTGTGTTATTTTAAAATGTTTGTGGAATCCTGAGATTTGCAGTGCACCAGGGTAAAGAAATTAAGTCTGACAAAAGATACAGGATGTATTGGTTTTTTTCTATCTATGCTACGATACGAGCTTATTCTCGCAAATTTGTCCACGTGAATACTGTTTGACTGGTATAAACAGTAATAAATTGAAAGAATTGATGGACGGAGATGAGAAACCATTCGTTTTTTCAGTCAATTAATAGAATCTCTTATTTATTGTAAATAATCGATGTGGTATGATTGCATTACATAAGAATCGATTGATTAAGTGAAGTTTTAAATAAGAATTGCGTCGTTTAGATGTCCCAATTCTAAATACGTAATACTTTGTGATAACATAAAAGAAAAAGTAATAAATTTGTGTGTATGAATTGAGACAGTAAAAATTCGAATTTTAATGTAAGATTTGATATATGCTCATTTAAAGCGATTACAATCGTAATTAATAACATTTTCGATTACATTTATTCAACATAAGTAATAACTTTTTATCAGTTAAAAAAAGAAAAAAATCCCGTTGCAAGAATTCGAATTAATTGCATAAATTCCGTTTTTGATTATTTATAACAAATTCAGTCGTTATAAACAAATAGAGTCAATTACCATCCATGTAACATAGTTGGTAACTTTTTTTTAATTAAAGGAAAAAAATTATTCTTATTTTAAGATAATCTTTAAATAAATTGCATTATTTGTCTTTTTTATCAATATTTACGTAAGAAATACATAAACCATTCATTCGCTATATTTATACATTGGGAGTATACCTATGTATATTGTAGAAAAATTGTGGCCACGAGAGAGAGGTCCGCGTTAGATGGCATTTAAATAAGACTGACAAAGAAGAGGATAGAAATCGAGTTGAAATGTGCGAAAAACGGAATTAGGGGCGTGGCCTAATCTGTATCACGATAAATATTCAATGAGTAAATCTCATTTTGGATTTAAATGAAAGCTAACAGTCATTATTAATTGTGTATTGAAAATTATTCCGTAATGTTGAATAGTTATCGAGATATTTGCAATTAAGGCTGGGCTGAAGTCAGAAAGTTTCCCGGAGTTGACTTTACGCCCTCGTGTTGTGCGGCAAGAGGCCGAAGCTTGACATCAACTGAAATTGAGTAGGTAACAGGGAAATCGTTCGAAAAATGATAATTTTCAAGGATGCACTACAAAAAGGGAGCCTTAGGGCACCAAGAAATTTACAAATTTTTGAATAATCTGTTTCGAGCAAGACAGAGCACAGAATATATCTATCTATCTCCGTCTTATTTTTCAGAGAAGACTGCGAGTTCGAACAGTTGACGAGCAAGCACATCCCCCACCCTCTGTTACCAAGCCTGAAGCTTATGATATCTAAACGTAAACAAAGCAAATGAAAATATGCTGGCTCTGTAGTCAGAAGATTCGACATTTATTTTACCGAACGGTGTTCGATTCCAATAATCCACGGAAATCCCCGTAGATTATTTCAACTACTTCTAAATATTTCTAAATTGCTTAAAAAAAAGCTACGTTCATATAGCTATAGTAAAAAAAGTGTTTATAACCCTGTTCATATGTTTTCCGACTCGGCGTCGATCAATTACATAAATAATTGAGAAAAAAAAATCAAATCGTTGTAAACAATTACTTTTAGCATGTTAATATTATAATTACATGCAAATCTAACAAATAAAAGAGAAAAAAAAAACTTTATCATGACTGGAATCGAACCCTGCCTAGCAAAATAAAAGACCGATGCTGTAACCACTGAGCTGTTATGGTTCCAATACGCTTATATATGCTTAAAAATTATAAGCTACAGGCTTGGGCACAGAGAGTGGGGGTAAAGCTTGCCGGGAAAGTGCCGAAATTCGCCACAGATTGTTTAAACTACTTTTCAATGTTAATAATAATATGATTAACTTGTTAATAACATAACATTGTTAACACATGTAAAGATGTATAAGTTGTTAAACACAGGCTATTATCAATGTATTTATACAAAAAAAAAGTTTATGGCTCTGTTCAAATATTTTCTGACTTAGTGTCAATAAATTCAATGAGTAAAGAGAAAAAAAAATCAAATCATTATAATGGATTAATTATGGCATGTCAATATTATAATTACATGCTAATCTAACGAATAAAGTAGAAAAAAAAGTGATTATGACTAGGATTGAACCCTGCCCGGCAAAATAGAACTCTGACGCCTTAACCACATGGCCAGCATAATCTCGGTATTAAGTTTATGTGTATTTGTTTTTATACTACATGCTTGGATACGCCGACTTGGAATTGAGCTTCCTTATTAACATTTATACCTAATAAAAATGATAATAATGGATGAATATATGTATTTGAAGTTATTTGCAGGTATTATATTAATTAATGTTAAATGAGTATCATCATTTTTATTTATCCTAACTGCAATAGTCATCAAAGTGTAGGGCATTGTAAAGTGATACACTATGTTTATATCACATACATATATTACCCGACACACACATACACAAATTACTCGCCAAAATGCAGGGCACCATCAGTTCTGGATACGGATTGCGCATTTTTTCAATATGGATGACTGAGGTCATCTGCGAGCATAATGCTGTCACCTATCGGAATTTTTTCAAACTAATTTTCCGGAGAATATCATCTGGAATACAATATTTCTAATTATTTCTAAATTATTCAATTTTATGCTATAAATTGATTTTTTCGACATTCAGACAGGTGGCAAGGACTGACGCAAACACGAATTTTGGGCGAAAAACGTATAAAAATAGAATAATTAGTGATTTTTCATCTGAATGATGTGGCCGCCATCTTGAAATTTAAGCGCGGCAAGTCAATTCATAATTTTTTCATTATTCTTTCTAATTTTTTTAATAAAAATATTCACTATATACAAAAAATTGTTGTTTACGTCAGTCCGGCATTAATTCCTCTGTAATTTGGTACCTAATTTTATAGAAATAATAGTAAATTGGCGAAGAAATTAGAAATATCCCGATCCCATGTATTTGGATAGGGGGAGTCAGTTGCCTCTCTGACTTCAGCCCAGCCTTAATACTCTATTTGAAATACGAGTAAATTTCAAATAGATTTACACAATAAATTGAAAATATGTGACCAAATTTTTTATTTCTGTAACTGCTTTGATAATAAAATTTTCAATATGCACAAAATAATTTGTAGCAGTAGAAATATTCAAGCCTATCTCATAATTAACATTAAAATACATATATGTATGTCGAATACAATCTGTTGAGGTATGAATGTTGCAATTGTATTTTTCGATTAAAAGAAAATATATCGTTGCTCAGGCAATGCTCATGTTTATAGTTATCGATCAAACATGTGACTAAACACATGTTGTAATAATCAACCGTACTCGTTGAACTATTTTCATATTTGAATAATTATTTGATTACCTTCAAAATATATTACAAAATAATTATTTACAATGAACCTTGATTTTGAAGAGAATATTACGAAATTAATAACCAAACCAGAGGTCAAATATGAAAATCCGCCTATGTACATATCTAAATTTCGTAAATCTGTCCGAAGAGCATCAGTTCGTGGCAAAAGTGCACATAAAACTTTCGGAATTCCAAAAGTATCGTTAAATCCACCAACCCAATTTCTCAGAAAAAAATCTCGCATTGAAATTAAACGGACAGATATAAAACATAAACATTATCATATTCCTAATTATCCACATGGATTACCTTCCTGGAAATCTCAAAAGCATATTGAATCTTCAGAAAATATTAAAAACCTTGGGAAAAATTTTAAAAAAGAAAATACAATTAAAGTGAAGAATTCTCGTGCAAAAAAACCCAGGCTGTATTTTGCCGATGATCGCTATGGCAATTCTTTTCCACACAAACCAAATAGTTTTTTAGCTTCTGAAAATTCACAGGTATTTTTTAAAATAAATTATCATTAATTAAATCATAATTTTTTGCTTTCATTTAGAATAAAAATTCAATGAATATTCACTTAAAAAAAAATTTACGTCCAAAAAAAGAATTAATGATTAAAAAGAATAGCGAATTGAAAGTACAAAAAAGTACAAAGAATATAAAAATAGAAAAAGCTGGTGAATCATCTAAGAGTAATGAAAAACAAGTTCCAAATGAGAACAAATTGGTTGAAGAAAATATGTGTCGTTATATTACGGCTGAAGAACGTGAAGAATTGCTAAAGGTAAAGAAAAATTTAATAGACATGGTCAATCATTTAATTTATTAATAATAAAAATCACTTTTTTTCTATCAGGGGATGAAAAAACGGTGGGAAGAACTGATGAAGCAATTCCAAGGATTACCATTTTTAACTGATACTCCACCAAAAATTAAAAGAAAAGCAAAAATGGAACAAGACTTAAAACAATTAGAAAAAGATATTGATATGATTGAACGCCATCCACATATTTACGTTTATAATGATGAGAGTAATCATTAATTCGAATAATTTATTTATAAATATAAAAAAGTATTAATATATACACTTTTTTTCAATAAGATTCACTCAAAGTTCTTGCCAAGTTTCAGTGATAGTTTCATCGTCTTTATTAATAATCAAAGTAAATGAATCACCTGTGTTAGTACGTCGTTTTTTTGAAGGTTTTTCACTGACCGCAAGAGTTTCACTGTCTTGTATTTTACTATTCTGCAAATCCCACGATGGTCGAAGAGAAAGATTTCGAAAATTGTCATCTATGTTATCATAGACATTAGCAATTCTACTGTCATATACAGCTGGTAGATCACAATAAAGGCAGTTGACTTCATCATAAATTTCATCAAGTGATGGATGAAATATTCTACCACATACGGTACAATTTCTATATTTCAGACAAGTGATATGAAGTAAAGTAAGAGCACATCGTGGTAATTGATGACCTTTGGGGCAACTTGATGATTTCCATGGTAACTCTGTTATCACTTCGCTGCATAAACTACAAGATTCTATTCTAACCAATTCCATTTTTGTCGTTAAATCAATAGCATGTTCCGCGAGTTTTTTTGTAACACTTCCTTCAATATTTTTATCTTTGCTTGAGAGAAATTCTTCAAGATAAAGACGTAAAAAGTGAATTGAAAGACGCATACTATTACTGAGTTCCTTTCTTTGAGATAATTTTATTATATGAGATGATGCAGCATGAACGAAAATTAATGGTTGAGCTTTAGATATCTCCCCTATAACTCTATCAATCTTCTTTAATATTTTTTTTTTCTTTAAAACGTCTGTTATTAATGTTAACCACATAATAATCCGAAGATGATCAACAGACATATACTTAAAATCTTCGGGAATAGAAGGCAATAATTTTTCTGGTTCTAATTCTTTTGATGCTTTAATTCGAATCGTTTCTAAGCAATTCCAATGAGTGTATAGACAACTGTCTTTTTTATTTAACAGTAGCCAAGGATCCCATTTTTCACCTTTCAAATTAAATAACTGTAGAGAACTTGGTTCCCGATTTATTAAGTGGTCATATAAACAATTAGGACTAGTAACATTTACAAATAATGCATGATTTGGAGCAACAGCTATACCAAGAAATTGAATCTTAGATGTTTTTAAATCATGTTTCACTGGTTCACTTGTTAATTTTAATCCTTTTTTAAAAGTTATTGTGAACATTTGACTATCTCGAGTAATCACCATTGCTTTTTCTTGATCGATTAATGTTAAACCTAAAAATTAAAAATACATATAATTAATTACTATATTTAAAAAATAATTAACAATGATATGAACTAGAAATTTTACCTGATATTGACAACGATGTAAGTTGTATGTGTTGTTGTTTTACAAATTTCCCTTCATGATTTAAAGTCATTACAATAAAAAAAAAATTTTTAATTACAATTATATTAATTTCATTGTTACTTCGACTAAACTCTTTCAAATAGTTAACAGAAATATGATCAGCATTTGGTTCATATTTATAGATAGATTTCTGAGTAATACAATCATCCGTTTCAGTAATGTATAGACCATAAATTTTACCATCGAAAAAGCCTATTATAATTAAATATTTATTGTCACTGAGAGTGATCCATAGCAGTTGAGTAATTTTCACTTCAGTATCGAAAGCTGTTCGGTATGCTATTATAGGTTCTACTTTCATAGAGAGTTCAGCCAATCTCATAATTTTCCAGATCACTAAATCACAGCTTCTATAAGCGGTCACTAAATAACAAAAAACTGTAGATTTATCAAACAATTCACTCCAAGTAACTGTGGTTCCAAGAAGTCTTCTCAAGTTTTTTTTAAATGACTCAGCATCAACAGAATTAACCTGAATATTTTCCGTCTTAAATTCTAATTCATTTTCAATTATTTTCCACCATCGAAAGGATAAATTATAAACAGAGTACCATTTATTTCCAACCTTACAAGTTAAATCTACAGCTCCTGTTGATGTGATTGTTACTAATAAACATTTTGATGGGTTAACTAACTTTTTTGGAGACCAAGCGGCTGCTACTATTCGTGGATTTTGCTCATTTCTTTCATCTAACTTTGGTGTTAATGCTACTTCTAGCATGAATAAATATAAATCTTCTTTATCAAAGTGGTTGATCACACGATTAATAACTGGTAAAAAAGGCTCACATGGTAGGAAACTTGATGCATAAATAAATGATCTTTTGAATTTTGCAATAGGTTGAACACATAATGGATTTGGTTGTAATTCCTACAAGTAAATAAAGAAAACATTTACTTAAGTTTTAATTTGTTAACAACCAAATATCTTATGTATTGTAAATTACATTTTATTAAAATATAATTAAATAATTACTAGTATGTGAATTCCTTTTTCAGTGATGATAGAAATTTGATTATCATCAGACCAATCTACAGCGAAAGTAGCCGTGATGAGCTCATGAAACGTTAGATTATAGATTTCTCTAGCTTCCATATTTATATTTTAAATAATAAAGTAATAATAGACTGATAATTTGCGCAACTAGATGGATAATTTGATAATTTGTTTACGTTCATACAACTTAAAACCGTGTTGATCCGCCATTTTTAAATCACATTCGCATGCGCACTCTGCATGCACTATGAAAACTGCCTTAATAAATGTAGTTGTTACGAGCTGTAGCAGCAGTTGTCATATGAAAACGGATTGTTAAACACCCCCGCGTTCAGTTTTTAATCTACTTCCGGAACACCTGTATAATATGTTTTGTTATAACCATACGTGAATACATCCCACAACAGGGGGCGCGTGATTTTTTAATAATTTAAGCTCAAAATGGCGTGTGTGTTGTGAAGTTGACTAAAGAGCAGGTGAGTTTGATGTTATTTTTTTTCATTTGTTTTTATTCATATCAGTTTGTAAAATTTTCGTTGGAATTGGAGTGTGACACGTGGATAGCGGACAAAGGTGCATCATGATCAGTATATTTATGTCGTGTCAAGGCGTTACCATGTCGGTTTACTGTTAAATATGTCATGCCATGTCAAATATAATTTCAAGGAAAAAACAACATTTAATGTACTTTATTTTAGAATGTTTTTATTATTTTTTATTACATATAAACACTAGGAAAAATGTTTAGTTCAACTCATATTGTTACAAATCTTAAAGAATTATTATTTTTGTTTGCCCGGTAAAATATTTTTTTGCAATATCTTCTACGTAATTAACTCTCACGCATTATGCACATAAGAAAAATTATTACTGATAGTCCACTAGAAAAATTCAGCGATATAATTGTCATATCAATCAATTTTTATAAACTTCGTGATAATTTAAAGATTACCAAATATTTATTATACAAAGATAATTGATTATGCTGTACGATGTTGTAAAAAAATATGTTGGTTTATAATAACACGTGTTTATTGATAGAAATTTTTACATGTTCAGATGATTATCATAGCACATAAAAAACAACAATGATGATTCAAAATATTATTAACTATAGCACTCTCGTACGATTAATGTTTAAAACAAATACGTCAAGAACACTGATGTATTTTTTCTAAACTGAAGGATCATTGGCTTATTAAAGTATGTAGTTGATTATTTTGTCATCAAATCTCTTATCACAACTTGAAGTAGCCTAGTAGGTCTTATCAGCTCGATAAACTCGCCCATATTTATACCAGCATTCGTGATTTCTATAAAGCTCTTAATATTTTCAAATTTCTCTGATAAAAAATTTTTTTTTTTTCTACTAAAGTCTCATATATTTTAAAATGCAATTGGTAGATTTATTGACACAAATATTCCTTACTATTCTAAATTGCTATTAGAATACATAAATATTAACTAATCATTTATCAATAGAAATGATAATTTACTTTAGCAATGTGAAATCATTTTGGGAATATTGAGTTTTTTGTTGCCTTATAATCATATCAAGATATTAGTAATTTATAAATTTCACGTTCTACATTTAATTTCGCAATTAATTGATATCAAAATCAAACTTTTTTTAATTATCATTTAACTTCTACTGTGAATGCTTTTAGATTCACATTATGAGACAGACAATATTATCAGGTTAATTTTCATGAAAATACTATCATGTACATGTCCTTTTCCGTTTTATAAACAATTATTTTCTTTTTTATTTTCATCATCATCATTGTCAACTTAATAGCTTTGAACAAAGAAATATTTTTGTTTTATTGAATATAAAAATAGCATTGCATGAAGATACTATTTAATTTTTTTATCTACGTAAAATGTCTTCAAAATTTTTTGTCATTTCACAGTAACGCATTAACACTTTTATAACATTCCATTTTCTAATTTATCTCTCTTTACTCTTAAAACATATAATAATTTAATATAGACTCTCCAGCAACATTTTTATAATATTTTTTCTCACTCTTATTGCAGAATAATAGTTTAAACAATTACTCAAATGTAAAGCTCATAAAAAATGTACATAAAAAATTATCTACTCAGCTTTAAGTACTAAAATAATCTAGTTGATAAAACGAAATTAAGGAAGTATAAAAGTAACTGTCACAAATAGCTAAAAAAAATATATTAAATTAATTAAATTGGCACCAACTTTTTTTTTATAATTTTTATTTCATTTTTTATAAATATGGTAACTTATCTTGATAACTCACACTAGAGTGATTTCGAGACATATTATTTCTTTATTTTTTTATCTCTATTGCTATAATGCTATTTACTTTATTTTTACAACTATGAAATTTTTACTTAAAATATATCATAAAAATTGTTGTTGCATAAAAAAAATTATTTTAGGCCCAGAGTGTCCTGCCGACACAGAAAGATGCTTCGTGGATGATAGAAGAAGTGAGCAAAATCGCCTTAAAACTCCCTGAGCAGCAAAACAATGTACAATGAGCTACAGCGGGAACCTGCCAGATTGGCATCAGTTTAACTCACCGCAACATGGACGTACTGGAACGTCTAGTGTACAAAATGTTAACTCCAGTCATCTTTTTCTCCCAAGTATAAATCCATCAGCATTGGACACTATTAACTTGACTACAAATGATCGTCAGAGCAAGCATCAGCGTAACGATGTCAGTTACGGGACACGAAATTATCAAGCATCCTCTATGTCAGGATCTACATGTGGCACTAATTCAACATCTAGTGTCCACATGGCCTCGCTTTCGAGCTGCGTAGGTCACTATGGATCATCGCCAACTAGAAATCCGATGATGGAAAGTCTTTCAGCATCAATTGATCCACGAATTCCGCCCGTAGGTTCATTGAATGAGACTGAACTGCCTCATAGGACCAATCAACTCCCATTTAATGCTTCAAACAATCATACAGGTGCTCCAAGCATTCATGGTGGCATGGGTTCCCAAACATCTCCTGTTGGACCTATGTCACCAGGGAGACAAATACCACCTTATGGAGCATGCAAAGGTCCATGTTGTAATCCTGACACAAATATTCCTTTTCATCATTGGGATAAATATAGTAATTATCCTCCAAACCCGCCGTACAGAGATAGCATGCGTTCAGCTAGTTATCATGGAGAAAATCGTCGATTTATGCCAGAAATGAATCTCAGAAAGGATTGTATTGAGAACAAAGAACTTGTTAGTCATGGTTTTGGTGTAGAAAATCGTAGAAGTTATTCAGATTATAAATATCGAAAGGACTTACCAAGAAATTATCCAGCTGCTTCTGGACTCCTTCAAAATTATCCAATACAAAACTATAATTTTCCATCTGATTACCAAAAGTGTCCTTATTCTGTCAAAGAATATCTTAGACGAAGTGGACCCAGTGGTGGGGCATTAATTAATCATCAAAACACAGGAATTGTTAAATATCCAGATCATCAGAATGTTAATATTCAACAAAAGTACAACAATAAACAAATATCTTATCAAAATGGCGCTCTGCCTACTGGAATGTCTAGTTCTGGAAATGGAAACTTACCATCGCCACTTCAAAATTCATATTTTAATCCTCAACTACCTCGAGATATTCCACGAGATTTTCCGCGAGAATATCAAGAAACTAATGCTGTCGGAAATCGGTTACCAACCTCACCATCGGCTGTAATGCATGGACCTTATCAGAAGTATCATGTGTATCAACAAAAAATAGCTATGCAACGATTTTCATTGGAAAATCATCTGAGGGCTATGTCAAGAGTACCAAGCTACCAATCACATCCAAAGTATCAAGAATATTTGATGAGATATCGAGAACTTGTAAGGTTGCAGCAAAATGTCGACTATCAAGGTATGCTTCAAGAAGCACCAAAAATTCCAAGTCCTTCTAATACATCAATACCACCAATAAATTTACAATTCGATCAAAATGGAGTTTTAATTAATTCTAGTTACAATCCCAATCATTTCCATGGTATGCTCAATCCTATAAATTCACTAGGAAACACTGAAAATATTGAAAATGCCGATGCAAATCGGTTGAACGTTAATAGATCATTAGAATCACAAAATCAATCACTAAATCTCTCAAGAGATAATGAAAATATTAATCATGTCAACGAAAAGCACCCAGAAAATTATTTAATGCAAAAAAATGATGGATCTGACTTTGACAACTTAATTGTTAATGTTGATGATATTGATATGTCTCCAGTGACAGCGATATCAGCAGATGTGATAGCAAAAGCAAGAACACCGGGAGAGAAACCAAATCCTAAAGAATTTGCTAATAAACCTGATTTGGACGTCAGACAATTTTTAGCTAATTGGGATGAGACTGAGGATGAAGAAGGACTTGCAACAACATATTCAGAAGAAGTCATAAATAATACCAATACCAACAACAGTAGTACTAATATTAATAGTAATGTTAAAAATAGTGATATGAATAATAGTGATAATAATACTAATAATAACCGCAATGAAAGTAACAGTTGTAGTAATAATAACAATGATAATAATAACATTAATGAAAATGTTAATTCAGCAGTTACCACAAATGTCGCATCACTGACAAAAGTAAACCTCAAAGAAGTGAATCAACAAAAAGTAGAAAAGTCAAGAGAGCCAGAAAATAATTCTGAACAAGCCACAATTGTTAATGAGAATTTAATTGTACAAAGTAATGTTGATAACATAGATGTAGAAGGATTAAAAACAATTGAAGAACTTGCAAATTCTGGTGCTATTGTTCAGTGTATTCAAACTGATACCGATAATATTCCTACAATTCATATAGTTGATCACTTATCTGGTGAATCAGAATTATCAACAATTCAAACAGTTTATGGGGACGTAACATCATTGACGATTGAACAAATTTCCAAAGCACCAATTGAAATAATTAATGAAACGTCTCAAGGACAAGAAACTATCACACTTTTTGAGTCTGATACTGGAGTTTGTATAAAACTTCCAGAATGTGATGTGGAATCAATAAATGCTGGAGTAGAAGGAAGAGTAGTTGTTGAGGAGGTTGTAGCATCAATTATTGATGCATCTGTGGAGATAACTGAGTCTTTACAACCAGCGAAACAAGTTTCAGAAAGTAATAATGAGTCAAGGCCAAAAGATGTTGCTTATGAAAAATCTTTGATGATTCCTCAAGAAAATCAAGCACAAGAATGCAGTTTATCCATTAAAGATCATCAGAATTCAGAAAATTCGAATTTAAAGAAACAGTCTAGCTTTGCTAGTGAAGAATCTCATAATCCTGATGACATCAGTTTACCAGATTTACCAATGTCAGAATGTACTCCAGTTTCGACTACGTTAAACACACCAATCCATTCAGATAGTGAAGAATCTTCCGGTCACATAACAGAACTTTCAATTTCTACTAATCCTATTGAAATTATTCCCAACAGTCCGATAATTAGTTTCACGCATTCTCCAATTAAAATAAATCCATATGAAAATTTGGAGAATGGTAGATTAAATGATAAAAGATCAGAAGATCCATTAGATTTTGATATTCATCGAAATTCTAATTCAAAAAACAAATTTGATAATAATGAAAATAATAAAACAGTAATTGAAGATTTTGAAATTGCGCGAAGATCAAAAAATAATAATTCTACTACTGATGTTGAATCTGAAGAACAACATAACAATAAAGTGCCTTTAATAAACTCTAATACTGTAGAGAAAGATAATAAAACCGATCAAAAAGATGAAGAATTTTATCCATCATCAGACCCTCTTGTTGGAATGAACCAAGAGTCAAACACGGTTTTTAAACGCAATTCAGATAATTCTTCAGGTATTGTTGATATTTCTAATGATATGATACCCAGTGGAGATTGTTCTGGAACACCGGTGAGTAAAATTCTATCATCTGATGAGATTGACACTGGTAAATGTCCATCAATTATTAATACAGAAGATTTTCAACATTCCGATGAACTTGACAAGTTGTGTAATATTTCTTTAGACGATGCTTGTATAATGCCTTTAATCACGGACGAGGGTCAACGAAACGCAAAACTTTCAACATCTATAGAAGATCAATCTTTTAGCAAAGTCATAAATAATATTCTGCCAATTAGCGACATGAACGTGCTGCAGTCTTCGGATGAAGAACCGTTAGATAAAGACGACGATGATTGGATAGAAGTTAAATCATTACCAGAGAGTCCTGTAAATTTAAGCTCTAATGAAATGCTAAGTAGAAGTACAAACTGCTCTGTAAAATTGGTAAACCAATCGAAACATTCCAATGAACATGAGAAACCCGACAGTTCTAGGGATAGCATAAGAAATAAAAAAAATTATGCCACCAACTCATATTCACCGGAGTCTTCAAAATCAGAATATAACTCAAAAAGTGGTAATTGTTTATTTGAAATAAACGAAGAAAATAAACGAGATTCGAGAAAAAATTACGTTCCATCAATTTTTGATATTTCTGGTGAGTCACAAAGTACAGATTTTGATAAATTTGAAAGAAAAAAGCAAGAAGAATCTGAACAAGATAAATCTAAGTCTTCTAAAGACTCTAAAAATGACCAGTCTAGAGAAAAATTATGTAGAAATGAAGAAGATATTTTTAATTTAAATTTTAAAGAAAATTCCAAAAATTATAATTCAATAAAATGTAAATCAGAATCATGGAGTAAAAGTTATACAAAAAAAATCACTGAAAGTTTACAAAATTTACAAAATGAAAAATCTTTTGAAAGTATTTCTGATGCTTTAAAAGCTCTAGACAATTATGAAATGTGTACTGTAACAAAAAGTTTTTGTCGAGCTAATAAAGATACAGATGTACAGATTCAAGTAGCGAATATCAATGTAAAAGAAAAGAATGACAATGATGCTGATGAAGACGTTGATGCAATTGAAATAAAAATAAATGTATCACGAAGTGAAAGAAGCCATGGAAGTAAACAATTGCGAGATAAATTGACTGAAGAAGTATCAGAAGTAATTAGAAAACATTCCTTTTTTCCATTAGATTCTACACTGACTACACCTCGTAAAATATTTAACCAACGTCGAACGTCACTGCCTGATGAATTAGACACCAAGAAACCTAAGAAATTGAATAGAGAAAAAAAGAGACGTAACAGTGGAGGTCATAGTTTTAAAACATCTCGCAGAAAATCAACAGAAGAACGATTTGTGGATGATAATAGAAAAAATCGATACTTTGATATACTTAGTACACTTTCTGAATCAACTATAAATGAATCAATTGTTGAAAAAGATGATTCTAGTTCAACAAATATCAATAAATCTTCTCATCTTTATCCAAATGATTTGGAAAAATTACAAGAAAATGTATCAACAAAGATTTTTAATGATTACACAAACACAACGAATATTGATAATATTGTGGACTCTAAGAAAAAAAAGAATGACTTGACAATAAAAACATCTCTAGAAATAATATCAAAAAGTGAAAATGAAGTTAAACTTAATTGTAAAGAAGATTTTATAAGAAGAGAATCTTTAGAAGAAATAAAAAATGAAAATACCTTTGAAGTAAATAATAAAAAAAAAGACTCGGAACGTAGCGTATCAGAAGAAGAAAAGGAAAAGAAAAATGACTTTAAACATAAAATACAAAATTTAAAATCCATTCCATTAGAAATAATGGAAAATAAAAATAGTTTACAGTTTTGTAGCAAGAAAAAGGAGCCAAAACGAAGAATCTCTATGGAAAGTATGGAAGAGAATAAGAGAGTAGAGTTGAAGAACAAAAAGAAAGATTACAAACGAAGAAAGTCAACAGGTTGTACAGAAAATGAAAATACATTAGATTTTTATCATGAGAAGAAAGAAAGAAAATTAATTAAAAGACTATCAATGGAAAATACAGAGGGTTTTGCAGAAGAATTTAATGACATTAATGAAAATACAATGAAGACGATATCAGCAGACGATGAATTAGATGATCAATTAAAAAATAATAAAAAGGATTCATTGAAGAAGCTATGTGCTCAATTCTCAAAAGATGAGAGTACTTTAGAATCTCACACTAGGAACAAAAGTTTACCTAGGGTATTGTCTACAGAAAAATCAAAATCATCAAATAACATTATTAATGTAGAAAATTTTGAAAATATTATGTCTAAATCATCATGTGATATGAATTTGGGACCATCAGACGCAAGTTTAATTGATAATATTTGGAACAAATCAAATTTTTTAATAGAAAATACATCAAGTTTTGATTTTGACAGTTTTGATTTAGGTCCAAGTGACAATAGTTTCATGAATCTTACCAGTAGAGATGATGAAGATGGAATTTCATCAAGAATGGATGAAGGTGTGCGTAATAGAAGATTGGAAGATAGTGAAAGGTATCGAAATCCATATTCAAATGTTCAGCCAATGGATTTAGATTCATCAGAAATAAATCTCAATTCTGTTCCTGTTTATAAAACTCAAGATGGTAAAATAACGTATAGTTTAAATCCTAAATATACTTATCGAAAGTTAATTCAAGAAGCAAAACGTAAAGATCACTCAATGTTACTAAACTCCATTTATTCTAAGCTATTAAAAACTTATTATGAAAGAAAATCATATAGAAGAAGGCTAGAATCTTCTGAGAACAATGAATGGGAAGATTACAGCCCTAAAAAAATCAAACAACCGTCCTATAATCATGATGATAATGATGATCAATGGGAAGATGAAGATTGGCGAAAGCAAGTAGATACATTGGAAAGTAAATTTAAAAGTAGATGGAGAACTAAGCTTCTTGAGTATGAAGAGTTGACAGACAATCAAAGCGTGATTTATTCTGATACTTCTGCTCCACCCAACTACTCTCCGGCTGAATCTTTGTTTCAATACCAACATCGAAAATATTCACAAATGATGTCGTTCAATAAAAAAACTGAGAATTATCGTATAGACAGTCCAGTTGATTATTTTGTTAGACGACAAAGTGATGCTTTTTCAGAATGGGATCGTGCAATAAATAATATAGCAAGTAGTCCATTAATTAGTCACCATTATGAAGAATTTGAAAATAAAATAGATAACTCAAGAAATCTTGAATCAAGATTATTTAATTCAAATGACTCAAAGTCATTCACGAAGAATCTAGAGTCAATTGAACAAAAAAAAGTCGAAATGAAAGTTCCAGCATTCATTCCTGAATCACAATCTGAAAATAAAATTAATGAAGAGCATTTAAATATTTTAAATGATGAAATGCAGAACAGTAATGTTAAGTCAAATATCCTTGAGTCCATAGATCCTGGTTTGACTGATGAAGATTCAAAAGACGTCTCGAATATTGCTCCAAGTATGACTCCATCTAATGCTAAACCAACAGTTAACATTGATGTTGAACAGGATTCTCAAGCAATGCTCACTGATAGTGGAGTAGAATCATCAACTACTTATGTTGAAGGCCGTAAAAGTTCGAGAAAACTAAATAAAGAATACAAATGGAAAAAAGCTAATCCAAAACTCGTTGAAGAAACTATTATTCCTATTAAAAAACTGAATGATGAAGATTTTTTAAATTTAAAAACTAATGAAAAGTTGGTGGAAAAAAATGATTTTCAAGAGAAGCATCAAGAAAATTGTATTGGAATAGACAAGGCTGTTGAGGAGATTTTTAAAAAAGAAGAAAATAAAAATCTCACTGAGCTTAAAGATGAAAAAATACTGAAACTATCGGAAGAAAAAATAAAACCTACAATTATATCAGATATAAAGTTGAGTGAATTTTCATTTAAAAATATTGTTAAAGACTTTGATAGTAGTGTTTTAAAAGGTTTAGATTTAGCATTTCCTCTTTCACAGAATTCAAAAGCAGTACAGGTTCAGATCAATAGAGAACCTGTTGAGAATGAATTTAAAACTCATAATGAAATGAATAAAATTAAAATTAAGGAGAATAATCAACATTTCATGTCATTTCTTGGGATTAAAAAATCAATTGAGGGACCAATCCGACGTGTGTCGAGTGATGAAATGGAAGAAAGAAAGAATGCCAAAAGAAAAAATTTATTTTTTAAAGATATTAGCAATTTCATTGATACAGGAACATCTTTATCGACAGCATTGAATGGTGATAATTTAGTGCTAGATAAAAATATGGATGTTGAACTCAATGAAGAACTGATAATGGTTAAGAATAAAATTAATGATTTAAATGAGTGGAGCAAATCTAAAGGTAATATAGATAATAAAGTAGAAGACTCAGTAATCGATTCACAAAGTGATTATCATATATTTGAGAAACCAGAAGTTCCACCACTTCGATTTGAAACTTTTAACAGCGTGACTCACAAATCAAATGAAACTGAAAGTAATGGAGTCTCTGTAGAATCAGGAACATCTCAATATATTGATACACTGAGTTCAACTCAATTTGGAAGTGAATGTGCTGAATCTAAATCAGATGAAACTAGTAATATTGGGATCAATTTTTTATCAACTTCCAGCCAAGAAGCTATCGATGCTACTGATTTAAAACAAGTACGACAACATCAAGTATTATGTCCAATCGATGATCAAACCAAGACTAACGAGAATGCATCTGAAACTATCAATAATCAACTACAAAATAAAAATGAAAAACCAAAGAGAGAAGATAAGATTTTTAATTTTTCTGGAAGAATTTCTAGTGAAAGTGAAGATAATTCTAATGCTTTAGATGGATCACCAATCAATGCAATACACATGGAAAATGAAAAAAATAAAATTGAGAATAAAGAAACGGATAAATTGTTGACATTTTCTGGCAGAATTCGAAATGCAGAAAAAATATTTGATGCTCAAGAATCTTTAATTCGTAATCTAGAAAAGGATGAGGAAAAAATTCTAAGCTTTTCCGGACGTATTCCAAGTCCTCCTAAAGCAGAGTCAAAATTGAATATTGTAAGTGAGAATAAATATAATAAAAATTTAACTTTTTCGGGTAAAATAAATAAGGAAGAATGTGGATCTGTTTACAAATCATCAATATCTGATAGAATTCCTAAATTTATTATTAAAAAGACTGACTATTCATCAATATCATCATCAATTTCTCAGGTACTGCCGTCTGATATATCTCAAAAGAGCACTGAAACCAAAGCTTCTTCAAGTCACAAGATTCCTATTCATCCTAAAATACCAAAGATGATTATAAGAAATGTTAAATCTTGGCCTGAAACTCCAACAGTTGAAGAAAATGCTGTTGAATTATCTTTTCCAAAGACTCATGAAAATGAGGATAAAGTTTTTGAAGTAAAAATTAAATTAGATGATAAGAAACAACATGAATCTCGTAAGGATTCCATTAAAAAGTCAATTGGTGTGATTGAATGTAAGGTTCCAAAAATGAAAATTAAACTTGAAGATCATCAACCAAAAATGATCTTTGAGAATGCAAGCATGGAATTATATAGTAATGATTCTGAATCTTCGAAAAATGTACCAAAGCTTAAAATACGCAAAATAAAAAGGTCAAGGTCACGAGAGGAGAAATCATTAATTAAAACTAGTGTTAAAAACTCAGAAGAAGAGAAGCCAGACCGGCAAAATAAAAATAAATCAACAGTAATAACTAAATCGCCTGAGCTGAAACACACAAGTAAAGATTTTGATTCAGCGAAACAAGAAAAAATCCCGAAATTAAAAATTAAAAAACCAGATCCTAAAAAACTGTTGTGGTCTCAATCAGATTCACTGCACAAAAAACGATCAAAAACTCCAGATAATTTTTCTAAAAATTCGAAAAAATCATCAAGTAAACACAGAAATGGAGATAGCGGGAAAAGTAAAGAAAGATCACCTTCTGTAGACAAAGAAAGTAACACCAACTCTCACCAGAGTACCTCTGAGAAAGTTCCGAAAGTGATTATTAAACGCACTTCATCCAGTGCTGAGTTCAAGTGCGAATTGAGTAAAGATGGAGGAGATGCTATTAAACGAGATTCAAAGTGGCAACCAGAGGTTAAATTAGAGCGATTTAAAGTGTTGGATTCAATAGCAAAAGAATCTGGCCAGAAGAAATTCCCTCAAAGAATGTTGGAGATAATTTCTAAACAAACTGAGGTAATCAGAACATCTAAATGTTCCAAAAGAAGTCAATCAACTCGAACATCGTCTGATCCGGATGAAAAAGTTAGGAATAAAGATGATAAAACTTTTAGTAGACATAAAAGAAGACATTCAGATGGTGAAAAACCATTATATCAAATGAAAGAGAGCACACTAAAAATTTTAGATGATGATTCAGAAAGTGAAGATTTTCCAAGAGCTAAAAAAAGAGAAATTTCAAAACAGTTAAAAGATGATTCAACCTTAGATGGATATTCAGATTCTAAATCAATCGAATTAGATTCTAGAAAAGCTTTTGAAAAAACAGCTTCAGATACAAGACAAATGAAATCATGTTTAATTCAGATTCCACTGGAAGAAGTAGCAACAAGTGGGTTTGGATTTTCTACAATCAGTTCTTGTCATAAAAGTAATGAATATGAAGCGGAATCAATCAATGATGTCACTGGAAATGAAACTGATGCTGTGATGAATATTGCTGATATTAAAAACTCAGAAGTTAATCATTTTGAAGAACCGGAGTCAGTAATAAAACTCGAATCTTCAGATGAGAGTCAAACAACTATTGAAATTCTTCCAGCATCTCCGGAAACATTTCGATTGGAATCTGAAGCTCCAACTCCTCTTGAAGGTAAACGAAGAATTGCTAATGGTGATCTAGCACAATTATATTCTGAAGATGCAATACCAACACAATTTGAACTTGAATTGGAAATTGTCGATAATAGTTCAGATTCTTTAGACGTTCCTGTACCCGATGTTATACAATCTGTTAATGAAACTAATTGCTCAACAAATTGCATTGAATCAATAGTATTTGAAGAAGATAAAAGTCCTTGGACATATCAAAATGAAAATGGTCCAGATCATTTTAATAAATCTTTATCTTTGACAACTGCATCAAATTTGCCACAAAAACATGAATTATCTGATCCAACTTTCAGTAGTTCTGATTTACTAGTAAAAGAAGTTTTAGCAGCAAAAGAAACTCTCAAAAGATGTCTTGCAAAGAATAAAATTGAGTCTAGTATCCCAATCGGTTTTTCAAGGCCTAAGACTGCTGCTGAAAAAAAACAAGGAGCTGGCTTCAACTTGCCTACCACTTCAACCAAAATTGACCTTAAGGATCATCGTAACGTCTTCCAAGAGAATGAATTAATATCTGGTGAAAGTTTCCGTAAAGATTCATCGAAATCTCAACATGAAAAGAATGATAGAAAACATTCGAAATTAGATAGAAGTCATAGTTCTAGTGATAAACAAGACAAAAGAAAAAATTTGTCGAGCTGTAGAAGACATGATGAGTCTAGTCTTGATTCAAATTCACAAAACAATCTTTCCTTAATCTGTCATGAATCTATTAAAAGTTTAAAACGATTAAGAGAGACAAATGAAGCAAGTAAACACAATAATTCAAACTCAAAGAAGATAAAAAGCTCAACATCATCGTCATTACTAACAACATCTTACGTGAAAAGTTTGAAAACTAAAGCTTTTTCTAGTAGGAAACATGAATTTGTTAGCAAAGCAAAGAATCCCAATCATTCATGTTCATCACCTTCAGCAAATAATTATAGTAAAACAAATAGTTCTAAAAATATAAAAGTTTTGAAAGCTCAAGAATCAAGCACTGGATCTACAGATTTTATGCCAAAACCTGTAGCACTAATGCCAATTTTAGAACCTGAGAACCAAGCTAATTTTGACGTTAATGAAAGAGATACTTCACGATCGCCTCCAGTAATTACAAAACAAGATAGTCAGGAATTAAGTTCAGAGAGTTTAAAAAAAAATGATAATACAACTGATCTAAAAATTGATCAGATTAATAAAGAATCAGAAGCTAAAACTTTCACTGATATAGTTATGCAAATGGCGTACCATGAGAAGGTAATAAAATATATTATATAGCTTTCTACATTTTAAAAGTTACAATAGTTTTTTTATTTTTACAAGACATTAAACAACATTTTATACATTTATTTTTGAATTTAGTCAATATATTAATCGAATTATTTGTTTATAGGCAACTATAAAACACAAACGTTATTGTCCGTTGTGTGAAAGATGGTTTCCAACAACAGAAAGACATCGAAGACATTTAGATGGATATCAACATCGACATACAGAACTTACACAACGCAGGACCGTCCATGCTCTATTCATGATGTTTACTGGAAAGCCTTGTCCCCGATTATTGCCAGCTAGCATTGTTCGAACTGATTGTGTGCCTGGTGAACTAACTCCATTACAAATTGCTGTTCAGGTAAGTTACGCAATTTATTTATTCAGTTCTTGGAAACAAGCTTATCATTGTACCATGTTTCTTTAACACAATTCTATTATACTTTGATGGTATTTTTCACAATATTTATATAAGTGAAAGTCTTTGATTTTTGAAAAAAATTTTAAATCATTGCTTATTACCTTCATTAAAATAAATAAATGTTTATGTCAATTTACAAGCATTAGTAGTTATAAAGAAATGGATGAACTTTTTTCAGGATGTGGCGATAAGTTTAGAAAAAGCGGCAAAAGATCAGAAAAAGACAATTAATGAAGAAAACAAATAATGTGAGTAATAAGTGATTAAAAGTGATTACTAATTAGTTTTAGAGCCAAAGACATTAGTTAAATGAAAAAGAATCTATTTGTAGAAAAAAAAAACTTTTTAAATTAACTCAGTTCGTTAGGTGAAACAATCAACTCTCGAATCATTCCAGTCAGTTGTACAAAACAATATTACGATTATTATTGCTCGTAATTGTTTTCGTTCTCAAATGAATTTTATAATGAAATGATCACACATCAAATGAATTCTATATACATATTACTTTGACCAGTTATAATAATATTTATATTTATTCTTGTGATTTCTAAATGGATTCATGCATTTGCATACACGAGGAGTATGCACAGTTACACTATTGAAAATATATAATATATTAATATAATATATACATATATATATAAATAAATTTTAACAATGTTCACTTAGAATAAATTAATTGAGAATCGAGAGAGAAAGAGAAAAATGAGTTTAGATTATTTTGCGATTATGCTTGGGATATCAGGAAAGTACTATTTTAATATGCTTTTAGTGATATTTACTTTTTAAAAATTTTTTTGCACATATTTTTTTAAAAGCACGAGTGCCTTACTATGCATAAATTAATTTTCTAGTATTAACAAAAAATTTGCATTTTTTACGATTTTTCAAAATTGACATTTTAATAATGATTCAATAACACAATAATAAATTGTATTGAAGTTTAACAATCGAGATTAATGAAAATTTATGCTAGTATAAAAGTGTTGAGAAAAATAGTTTTATTGCATTTCATAAAATCTATAAATTATCATGTTAGACGGGAAAATAAAGTAAATGAATTACTTACATGTTGAAACAATAGAGACATATAAAAAGTTAATGAGTTAATAAGTAGAGGCACATGTAAGGTATTACTGGTGCATTGATTATTAGCCATTTATTGAGAAAAATATATTTTCATGCATTCCAACTTTGGTTTTAAATAATTAACTGTGTCAAATGCATCATAAAGTTTATAAAGAATCAACGAGCGTACACAGGAAGAATTATTCAAAAAAAGAATGCATATGTTAAATTTGTAGATAAAAATTATTTTATTGAAAAATTTTCCAGAAAAGAAATACTACAGTACTACATGACATATTTTTTGATAAATCAACTTTAAACTACTATATAAAATATAATATACTTTCAACACATTTTTATTATCATATTAGATAGTTGAATCGTTATTTCATTGCCAAAAAATCTATTCTTTTTTAGAATAATTCTTATTAATGTAAACAATGAAAATATGAATCAAAATAATCTAAAAATAAATACCATTGTGACCTTATCATATACATACCTGAGAAAAAAGTATTTATTGAACACGGATTCTGAATTTGAAAGACAAAACTCAATTTTTGCAAAAAATTCTTCTATTTTCGAACATATTTGTGTGCAATACTATTGAAGGAGTGTATTTTTGCCAAAGTACATATTTATAATTTAAAAAAAAAATCTAATTTCGCTAATACCATACAAAGATAGATGATGAAATTTGAAAAAATTTAAAATTATATTGCATAAAATAAACATTTTATTTTTAAATATAAAGGATAGAGATGAATATTTTCTTCACAGACCATATTTATTTAAACACTGAAAGTTTTATTAAAAAATTTAGATGTGTGAATTTAGCGATTGTTGTGTGTTCGATGTGCCTAACATAAATTATTAAAAAAATCAGGTTTACGAAAATTGAGCCTAATATATATATATATATACATAAATATGGAAAATAATATAAATAATATAAATATAATATATTAAATATAAAAATATATATTAATTAAATATGTACAAAGATAATTTTTGTTTAATTGAGTGGGTTTAAATCTGTTAACGAAGAATAATTCATGTGTGCCGTAAATCTAAATATTTATCATTGAGAAAAAAGTTAAATAAAAATAATATAAATTAAAAATTGTATAAATACCGTTAAAGAGGTATTAATAATAAATATGTACTTTATTGAAATTAAAAAATGAGAAAATATCTATTTTTAATTTTAAACAAAGTACATAAACAAATACCATTTGTGATAAAGCAGGTAAACAGTCAGCATAATTATATTGTTCACATATCTCATAGTTGATTTATTGATAAAATTTATTAAATAGACAAATGAATTAATGAGCTCTCAAATTTTATGTTTAATAGTCGAGTTCACTATTCAATAGTCATTGTATATTTGTACCTATCGTAATAGATGAATAATTTTTCAATGGTTTTTCTGTAAGTCAGTATTCAAAATTAAATTTATTGTACGAGTGTTGATTTTTACTGTTTCCTGTTAAAGATAATCGTATTTATAAAAATGGTAATCATGATGATTATTTTAAAAAACAGAAAGAATTAACTTTTTCACACTGCTCAGAATTGAATTATGTATTTCACAAAACTTTATATTGTTTCAGTGTGCAGAGTGTTATTTGATTATATTTATATAATTGTAAAAAATAAAGAAATATGTATAGGTCGATTTACTAAAGTAATTGATATTATGCAATTAAATAGTATAAAAAACATGATAGATTATTTAGTTGATTAATTAGAATAGATATTTCGCATGGACAGGGTTTTTTCATAAGATCTCTTAATATAATTAGCTTTCTTATGTTATACTTATATACACTCTTACACATTCGTACTACCTAAAAGCCCTCGGGGAATAATATGTTACCTTTTTATTAGATATAAATGAATCTACGATATATTGTTAAAACACATTTAAATGAAAGTTATCATTATTTAAAATGCTCTCCATTGTAGGCTTGTTTTTTAATGACGTTATTAATTTTATATGTTATTCACAAAGTTGTCGAAAACTATTTAGTGTACTTATTCCTATGAAATGTTGCATACAACTCTGTAAGATAAAATAGATAATTTTATTGAAACTGTACATTTAAATCAATAATTTATATATAAAACAATTACACTAGAATTTGAATTTAATGACTTTTATTTGAAATTACTTTTAATTTCAATTAAATTACTGTATGACATCTTTGATGATTGTTAAGTTTTTTTGGTTCTTTAGTTGTATACGAAAATGTTTGATTAATGGAGAATTCTTTAATTCTAAATTAAATTAAGAAATTCATGCACCGTGAAAGGAATTTTACTACACGTGTGATGTTTGCATAATAAAAATAATAAGATGAAATATTTTTCATTCATTAAAACATAGTTTATTTATGGCAAATATTATGTAATAGATAATAAATTTAAAATTATTGTTTGTTTTTTTTTTAATGTATGTTCTTATGTAAAAAACATGAATGGAGGAAATGGTTTTACGAGTGTATTTTTTGCATTTGTATACTATCTTTGTTTAATTATCAAATAAGCATAATTTAATTTAATCAATTTAAATATGAATGAATATTTAATTATCATTTGAAAAGAATTTGAGAAGGATATTGCAAAGAAATAATATATTGTGTATGTACATTAACATCATTATCATCATAATTATTATTATAAAAGTAAAAATCCGCTGGACGATATTTAAAAAGTTAAATTTACGATAATTTTCATTACATGTTTATTGCGATACATTTATAATCGCTGGTGATTTTTAAAAGGACTTATTTATGAAAATTACCAAAGTGTCCTTTATCACATAAAAGTATACGTTGATAATGTTCGCTTCTCTTTCTTTTATTATTTTTAGAGTAACAGAAATATTGAACCATTTGCTTCTTTAATCGTTTATTATTAAAATTTTTTATGTATAAATCATAATGTAACTAAGTTTAAGTTTTTTTGGACGATCCCACCAAATATTTCGATGTATATTTAATACATAGGGGTGTTGATCATTGGAACGTTTTATGTGTGTGATATATAAGACTTGTTTTTTGTTGATGTCAGCCTGTTGCACGATTATAAATAAAATGATTCTATGCGAAAATTATTACGAAATTTTTTTTTCATTACCTGTTGAATGTTTTTTTTTCATTTTTTATATATTAATTTAAAAAGATTGAATACGGGTCATTGTTTAGGATGCAAAGGAATTCAAAGTAAGACAATTTTGTAGTAATAATATATATACATATATGTTTCTTTATTTTTATTCACATGAATTCAGTAAAATGGATCAATGTTGATTTCACACACTGAATAAAACCTTTAAACATACGATTTCTTATCACAAATGGACAGTTTTTTTATTAAAAAGAAAATTTTTACATGAATAAAGTTCAAAATAATTTTTCTTCTATTTGAAATAAAAAGCTTATAATTAATTATTTATGTGGAAAATTAACAAAAATAGAATTTTCCAATGCACATATTAACTATCTATAAATCTTTTGCTGTGAATGATATAAACTAAAAATCTATTCAATGATCGATGGATATGTTATATAAAGGCAATTGGCTATAAACTACATCCATATTGGTCCAATTATCCATTATCAATTATTATTAATGTAAAAAATCATAAACTTTTTTATTAATGTAAAATACTATGATAAAAACCAAAACCATAACCAATCAATTCATATAAATTAATAAAATTGTAATAATTATTAACAAAGCAAATAATACAACGTTATACAATACTTTACAAATTTAACAGTCTATAAGTGACTTTAAATCTCAAACATTGTGTAAGAATGAAGCCATATCACTTTTAAAAAAAAAAAAATATCAAGCAGTTCGACTTATTTACAAATTTGTATACATTAGAATTTTTTTCCAAATTTTTTTTACTTTTTTCGTAAGAACTGGAACGATGTCTACATCACTTTAGACACATAGAAGTCTTATTTGTACTTAAGCTAGAATTTTCTCCTCTTTCAAATCGTCCTTTTAGCATTTTTGTCTTTTCAAATTTCTTACTGTATAGTTTTTTATCTTTAAGTACATACATCAATTTATTGCACTATACATCTAATACTAGCATTTCACTATCGAAGAGAAAAAAATTAATTTGAATATTGCTAATTCCCTGTCAATTGATTCACTTTTTTCAATTATTATATATTTATAATGAATAATATTTGTTTATTATATTATTTTATTTTTGATGGTATTTTTATTTTTTTTAAACTGAAAATAGTATTAATTATTCATTTGTCATAGCTTCGTATGCTTTACACTATCTGTCCAATAATTTTGTATTGTCATTGCTTCCAGAGAATTTAAAAATGAATCATTATCCAAACTGTACATTTCTTCAGAATTATCCTGAAATAAATAGTAATAATTTTTAATCATCGATAAAAATACTTTCACTTACAGTTTATTTACATTTTTATATTGAAATTATTAACATTGAAAATTATTTTTTAGAACATATATTACTGCTAAACATACCCTTATAGTAGAATCATCAATATATCCAGAACTATCAGGATTGCTGCATTTATCACTATTTAACGTTTGCGGTGGATTGCAGTATTTGCGTCTAAAAATAAAACAAAACAATGAAAATAAAATTAATAGCCATTTTTTATAGATCTAAAAACATTCTTGTCTATTCTAATTTTTTTATAATAACAAAAATATCGTTGAAATCAAAATAAACTTTTAATTTTTTTATCTACTTTATTTCAAATAAAAATAATAATTTTTCCAAAGCTATTATTAGAGTTATTACTGAATGTAAAGCCAACTCAATAATGAGAATTTTTTAATCAATTAAAATGAGAAATAATAAACTGCAAATAAATAATTTCCACGATTGCTCACCTGTACATAACAAAACCAAGGCTTCCAATAGCGCTGAGAAAAAGAACCATTGCTAGACAACTACCAGTTATAGCAGCGATTTCCAATGCTGTTGGTTTCACACTTTCAGCACTTACACTTCCAACAAAGCTTTCCCTACTCATTATATCAACTTCATCATCCTGAAAAGAGCGATCCTGCGCTCGGTTGTCATTTGAAAGAGGATTTCTAGCTCGACTTAATCGAGACTCAGCTAAATCCACATGGAGACTAGGACCAGCAGTTGCTGCAGAAACACGAGGCTCAGCGAGTTCTTGATCTATTTCAATATCCTCTGATGTATTGAAGGTCTTAGTGCTTAATGAACCTTCATCCATGTCTTTCGTAACTTGGGTTCTATTGACAACTACTTTAAACTTCCTTTCCTCTACTTTTAAAGGTAATACATTCAAATCATTCTCTTCATCTCTACTAAAGCTGGAAAATTTCTCTACATCTTCTTCTCTCCGTTTAGCGGGTGTTTTAGACGTAGTGTAAATATAAAAAATTGCACCTTTTCTTCGCTGATTAAATTGCTCAAAAGTACGATAATTGTCATCTTGCTCTTCTCTTTGAACTTCACTTCGTCCACTCCAAAAGACGTTAGTTGTTTGTAGGATAGGATTAAATTTACGTGAACTATTAGTATCTTGATTAAATCTTATACTCTGATGAGAATTCTTTAAAACTTTGGAAGCATTTACGGACGGTCTGAACATAGGAGGATCTGCAATACCAACTATATTTCCTTTAACTGGAGGCTGGTATGTATCAATGGCCTTGGCTATCCTCATACTAGCTTTCGTAGGTGCTGCTGGGTTCAATCTTTCAGGAGTTGAGGCTATCCTTAAGGTAATACTTTTCCATATAATACTCGTGTTCTGCTCAATTTTTGAATCTTCTGTAGTTGATGGTAATGGAGTGGCTAGAATTACTGTAATAAAAAATAATTAATTGATCATTTCATCACCTTACTCATTTTTAAATACTTTAATACCCTAGAATAAAAATCTCTGATAGTTTAATTGAGTATTAAGATAATAATTTATTTTTATCTATTTAATTTTATCAATAATATTGATAAAATTTGACTTTTGTCGAAATTATATAAACATTAATTTAACGTTCATAATTTTAATAAATTGTCTAAAAGTGGTGTTAATTGGAGTAATGACGTCAATTGGTTGAATCAGTTAAAAATTTCATAGATGTTATATGTTTTACTCAATTTTACAATAAATTTTTTAAATTCTTAATAGTTCGAAACTGATGTAATTTTTTTTTCTATCAAAACCAAAGAAACCTGCTAAGAGATGTGTTATTGATCTGATGTAATCAGTCAAGATTGTTTAGTTTATTTTAAGAAAATGTATTGTTAATCATTAATGAGTTTATCTTCTTAAACAACTAACAAATGACATAAGTTTTAAATAAAACATTATTTTACATAATTATTATTCTCTGGTATTTAAAGATATTGGCAGTGATAATATAGGTAAATAAATAAAACACGAAGACACATAGAATTAATTTCATAAAGCATCAGAAAGTAGCTCAATATTTAACTTGATTCTGTACTTATTGAACTATGTATGAGAATAATTAAACATATTATAGTTTCAGTGGCATTGAAAGATGACTCACCAGTGATTTCTACAGTCACCCAAAACCAATGCATCCACCAGTGAAGCGTCATCGTGTCATCCGGATAGATTTACCCCCTGAAACCATATAAAATTGTAAGTAAATAATCGAACTTAGCTATTAGTTTCAGACTTTTATACATTTGAATAAATACTTTTCATGAATATTTATGTTAATGTTGTTTAAATAAAAACACTTGGATAGAGCTGGTCTACTTAATAAGTGAATTTATCGAATACTCGTGAAATTAATTTACATTAATTATCACTAAAAACATTCTATGTTCGTTTATTAAAAACTTCAATATTCATGTCACTCATTAATTTCAATACATAAATGTTTTATATGTAAATAATCGTTCAAATTTTACTTTAATCTTGATTGGATTCTATTAATTGTATATTTATCATCACTTTTTGAGACATATTATTTCTATCTGTTTGAAGAGATTACCACAATAATTCTTCAATTAAAATAATTTATTTATGTAACTAAGAACATGTTTGTATCCTTGAAATAAATTTTATACAATAGCAAAATTTATCATTTAATTTAGAAACAAATTAACTATGCGAAAACAACCTCGATAATTGGTCACGTAAAATTTTTTAATGATAAACTAATGAACTCTTCAGTATTTTTTTTTTTTAAATGTATTTTAGATGCAGATATTTATTTGTTTACATTGTTTAAAGGTATAAGAAAATCCATCTGTAAAATGTGATTGTGTTGACGCACAAATGAAAAAGAATGAACTAAACGTATCAAAGCATCAAACGCGACTGTTGCTGCTAACTCAAGGACTACTACACCTTTCGCATCATAAGCTTTAGTGTCATCTCGTATCCCTCTCAAACAAATTTTTCCTTGTCTAGGTGCTTCACATACGTGAGATTATACTTGTTAAAAAGGTTCGTCCGCGTGACGAAGCCGCTCCTCTTCCGAGAGATAAAAATATCCTGAGTATTTAATTTTTCAGTCTTATTTCTTATGAGAGCAACAGACCATCAAAAGATAATTCAATGCATCGATTATTTATGATATTCTACTATCTTTTTACCTCATTAACATTTAATTTGTGAAATTTTTCTTTTAAATTACATTCATTGAAGTTTAAATGAACGCATTTAACGAAAAAATTATTGCAATTTTGGTATGTGAAACCAAGCATAAGAATGAAAAATAGATTCATGTCTGTTGTTAATGTACATCAGGATTTCTCTTTACTTTCTAGACATTTCATGTTTAGAATAATGAATAGAGTTCTAGCAAGTGTCATCTTGATTCTGATATGCAGTTAATTATTTTTTATTATTCCTAAAATTGAATACTTCTGTAATAACAATCATGCCCATAGGTTTTTTTTTTGTGAAAATAATCAAAGGTTTATCTGGTTTTCAGAACACGATGTGGTTTCCGCTACTCGAACCAGCAGTATTAACAGTCTTGCGTCCTAGATCAAAAGAAGTAGGTAGTGACCTATCGTTCATTATAAGTCTAATTTACTTTATTACTTTTTTATTCTTAAATTTAGCTTTATTTATCTTGCAAAAAGAAATATTTATGATCAAGATGTTGAATCACTTGCATAACATTGTGAATGCTTATTCCAATGTTTTGAATGTCAATTAATTAACCAATTTTTGTTACATCTGTTAAATATTTCATAAGTTTTGTCATCTTTTTTTTTAAATGAAATTTAAGATTTCTTTTTCTGGTTTATTGGATGAGTTTATTATCAGATGACATCAAGTATTACGGTATCAGCTACCTACAACAAGAAATTCCTGTAAAAGTTTTTCCTATAAAATAAATATTTATATTTCTCTAAAATGATAGTGTTCGTAAAAAATTAGTGTTATTACGGAAGAAGATAGATTAGAATTAAATAGAAAAGTTTTTTTCAATATAGTAATATCAATAATGAAATTTATATCTTTTGTGGGTTAATCTTATATTGCTTAATGGTATTCAATAAAAACATCGTGATTAATAATAAATAAATTTCATATCAAGAAAAAAATTTAATCGAAGAAATAGAATAATTTGGGATAAATAATAACTTATTGTATTGCAAACAGAATAAATGTAAAACATACACTTTTTTTAATTAAGTTAAACTTTGATAAACTTTCAGAGTTTCATTCAAATTACACAGGTCTGAACGAAAAAATTTTTTGTCAGCTATATGAGTTATTTTGGCGGAATTATATGTTTTAAATTTCATAAATTCTAAAAATGACTGCCATAACATCCCATCACGTACCGCTATTCTCTTCAACCATTAATATGTTTTTTCCGTTTATTACCGTGCTTATCTGTATTAGATAATATTCATGTGAGAAATTTTAGTTTTGAGGAAATTTTTTAAATAAAAAATATAATACCAAATTTGAAGTTAATTAGGACTTTTACACTAAATAGAAAAAAACTAAAATTTAATGTGATGCAAGTTCAATTCTATAAGAAAATGTATAAAAATCTTATGCAGTTTGTTACTTACAGATCTGTGTTTTTAATGAAGTTAAAAATAAATATACAATATGTTAATACGTCACTGATTAGATGATGAATTTTTTATCAACTATTATCGATATAGTTTAATTATATACCATTATTTATAGTAACCATTGCTCTTCTGACGACATAAAATGATAAACGATAAATTACGGAAACGACGTTAGTTATATTTAAACTCATTGAAGAAATGTTACTTAAACATGTACACCTATTTTTATTAACAACTTTGGATTCTAATTAACAATACTAGTGTTAAAGCAAATTCAGCCATTAGGAAAGTATCATTATCTCACATTCTTTCATAATGGGAACGTATGTTTATATGTATAGGTATATAATGATATAGTCGAGAGAAACTTTACTTGGTTAGAATGATTTAAAACTCCATAAATTTATAAATAATACTTACTTGTTCATCGTAAATAATATCTCATTAAAAAATCACAGTTGTGATCACTCATAAGAATCGAATGATTTTAATGATTATCATTAGTCTGAATTTAAAGTAGATTATAAATAAATAATTAGTTGTAATAAATATTTTTATAAACGTTTTTACAACTGAATTTTTAATTATTAAATAATTGTATGTTTAGAGTTTTAAAATTCAATTATTCAGAAGTGAAGTAAAAGTGACAAAAGTTGTAAAAATTCAACAAAGTTATATAATTAATTTAGTTTAAACTTAAATTATTACTTAATAGTCGTTTTGGCATAGGAATTCAAACTTTATCAGAACTTTCGAATACAATAAATTATATTGATTACAGTTAAATATTTTCCACATTCGTTTACATATGTCATTCACCTTTTTTATTAACATAATAAAACATGAAATTACTCATGACAGTGATTCTTACTTTTTCTTTTTTGAATAAATTACTTTTCGATTATTGACAACCTTACATCCTAAGAGTACAGTAAACAAATCAAACATGTTTTTTGTATGTTGTCAATTCTTATCAATATAATCAATTTATCTTCATTGTAGATGTCTAGGGTAAAAAAATCAATAAATATAATTGTTTTTAGACATTCAAAACAATCATAAAATAAAAACGATAGTAATTGGAATTCATAAAGAACTCTTCCGATTCTTTTCTGTTCATCCTTTGTTATTCACTATCTATTTATGGACATGTTTGTTCTAACTATGCTCTAAAAATAAATTTTAATTTTAAAGTTGAAATTACCAAATGAATAGTTTGAATTTTTGTTGAGAAAAAAAGAAAAAGAAAATTCGATCCTGCCAGGATTCGAACCTGGAATCTTCTGATCCGTAGTCAGACGCGTTATCCGTTGCGCCACAGGACCTTAGAATGTGAAAAATTCAAATTGAGGTAACATCATGTGAATAAAAATATTGCGAAAACGTAAAACATGTATGTACGGTTATCTTGACCCGTTATTGCAGACCCTCGAGTATGATTAAATAAATCACGTGTCCATAACCATCTGTCACTTTTGTATATTATACACGAGAGTTCGTCATCACAGAACAAACGCGGGAAGTTTCGTTATACCGTGCAATCTTTTTATCAGTTCAATCAATTTAATATATTGCATAAAATACTATATTATATATTATTAAGTCCTGAACAAAAATAAAATGTAACAGAATAAAAAAATTGAAAAAAGTATGCATGAAATTATTTGATAACAATAAAAAATATCAACCTTTTACATCGAAGTTTACGTCTAGATCTGACTATGAAATTCTTTTTATTTTTTCTTATTTTCAAGAGATAATACTCGTGAGATTCGAGTCACAAAATTTTAAAAGAACATACACGTAGATGTAATAAATGATAAGATTAAGCAACTTTTTTAACCCAACAGGTTTTCTATTTGTTAATCGAGGTCATAAGCATATACTCTTACCAATCTAGTTCTTATTAATTCCTTCAGTTATCAAGATAAACATTAGACTTTCTCTCTCAACAGATTCGCACAATTTAACACACTGCATTGTTATTGATATAGACACCGACAATAATACCATTATGTTCATAGTTAATAAATAGCTTAAAAGAATTGCCCTTAGATAAAATAAATTAAAAGTTTTTAAACACAAGTATTCATATGTGTATCAATACCTGTCGACATTCTTCACGTATGTATAGTGATAGGTATTTAATAATACGCAAATATTTTTCTATTAAATTATCTAGGTTGACAACTTACCTAGTTATTAATTGAAATAAATCACAAAATAAAACAAGACATACCAGTTATATGTCTTATAATAAATAATTTAATAAACGGTCACAATAAAACAGAATCTTTGTACCACTACCGTCACGACCATCACAGATCTCAAGCCATTTTCCACGACTGTCATTGATGGTGGAGAAAGCCAACCGATCAGAATAATTTTTTTTATTCAGGAAATAAGTGGTCACGTCATCAGGCGAGTTTCTATGTAACTATTTATTTTTTTAAAATTGGCGCGTTTCATTATCTAGATGGCGTATTTATTAAATGCTGTTTCCGAATACATACGATGATTATCGAGGTTAGTCGATCAAAATGTCTCGATAAATTGCTATATGATCGGCACAATGACAGTGTATATGTCTGAAGACATATCCAATAATTATTCTTGTTTCGTATAAAGTGATATAAGTAAATAAGTACATAGTACTCTCGTCGTGCATTCAACTCATTTGCGTCAGATAAAATATTTCAGTTATACTCAGAAAGTTCGTCAGCGAGCTTTGAACAAAATAAACATAAATTTTTGAATAAGTAAATAAGTGCCGAAGATATAAATATTAGGAGAACGGAGTAAAGCAGAGTTATCAGTTTAACTTTCAGTGCGATTTAAGTCATCTATTAAATCCTTATTAATTCATCTATTATTGTTTATGTATAACGATCAACGAAATGAAGCTTACACGCAAGTGTTTTGGAAACATCACCAAGATGTTGGACTATTATTCTCAATTCAATCCATCGCCACTTTCTATCAAACAATTCATTGACTTTGGTACGTCTATAATAAACTATAAAAGATTTCTAGAACAAAGAAAAAATATGAAAATTAAAATTTATTAGTAAATAAATGTTGAACTGTTTCAATTAATCTATAAAAAGGTCATTGACTTGAGTTTAAACAAATGCCATTTTTCCAATTCAATAGTAATGAGGAAATAAGCTGTTATAATAAAATGTGAGAGGTAGTTTAAATTGAAGTTGTTTATAAAAAATATTAGTCCATATTGTTAAGTTATTTAGTGAATAGATTCACTCCAAAATATATTTTAAGTGTGTTATTTGTTTTTTGCAAATTTAAAACATATGAGTACAAGGTCATAACGTCTTTGGCTTTATCACGTAGACCCGAGAAGTTTAAATCGATTCCAAGAAAATTTTTTCGCACTCGTCACTCAATAACTCATTGCTGGTTCATTGATCGTCTTAATCAGTCGTTAAAATTTGCTGAATTGATAAAAAAAAAATAATTTCTTTATTTTAATAAAAATGACCAAAAGACATCTTTACATGATTATTATCATATTCAAAATAGTTGATACATGATGACTGTGCAAGAAAAAGAATAAAAAAAATATATTTTCGTTGATATGTTAAATATGTCAAAAAATTTATGCAGCTTACTAAGTTTTTAAAGTGGAAATTGTAATTATAACTAGACAATAACAACCTTTCGAGATCAAAGTCCACTGTATCTGGTATTAACCAATCAACAGCTGAATTTTGTTCGCGCCCCTTATTCTTAATCTACTACATTGCGTCATTTTAAATATCAAAACATGCGTTTTAATGTGGAATATTCGTATTTTTATTTTGTATGTCTGATCATACTTTGTACGTCATTGAGTTTAATATCAACCTCCAGCCAAGCTTGATAACTTTTCATAAATAAATTTCGAGGTCGTGGAGAAAACTATTTTATACGCGATGAGACAGAAATAAAATAAATATTTTGAAAATTTTTCATCACAGATTTTTTATACCTTTAACAATTAGATCATTTATAAATGATTTGCCATTTCTAAAATAATTTTGCCTTTTTCAAGACTCCAATGTGATAAATATGTTTTTACGTTTGTACAAATTCAAAGTAATTTTCAAATACATTTATACACGATGAATGTGTATGTATATTGTATATTACAATCTTTATTATTTCAGCTAAATTATTACCTATTTTTATGATCAATAAAAAGAGTTATTATGTGAATTTATGAGTTATTATGTAATTAAAAAATAATTATTTTATTTAAACAAAAAAATTAGTTTTTATTATTAAAAATTTATCCTGAGTCTTCATTATGCGCTATTGTTTGCTTTACGTTAACTATCATTTTTACTAATATATTTGTATAATTGTATGATAGATGGATTATTTTTTTAATTGTCATGAAAAAAATATTTTATCTAAACGAAAAATGTATAAATTTAAATTAAAAAAAATATGTATATAATGAAAAGAAATAACACAAAGAAAAATAAAATCATAAGGCTTTAAACTGAAATAATATATTAATAAAATAATTTATCCTTTTATGAAGAATAAATTTTTTTTAAATGATGAAACTTATTGAAATTAATGCAATTCATTGAAGAATATAAACATGCTAATCAAATATATATATAATATTTTAATAAGTTTTAATTAATCAGACAGTTATGTAATAATCTGTAGAAATATACTGTGTCTATGATTTCGTAGAAGGTCTTTATAATTGTTGTGAATATCAATGACAAATCTTCAGAAAAAACTAAATAAATTTGTTTTTATTCAATTAACAGACAAGTCTCTTTTTATTCAATAGTTTGAAGGACATGTAAAAATGACGAATCAAAAGATAAAAGAGACTAGAAGCTTTTACTTGTCAACTTGTTCATCTACATTAGATTAGACGTGACTTTCAAACATTTATACACAAGCATAATACTTATATATGAGCAATAAAACCTTCTGATATGATAAAATTAATAAAATTTTATTAATTATCAGTTATGCCAATATTTCTACATTTTTATTTGAATATTTTTGATAGATTTTAATAACATAAAACAAAATTGTAATGAGTATACATCATAATTATCTTATTAATTATTGTTTACAGGAATGAGTGCCTGCGAAAGAAAGTCGTTTATATTTTTGAGGAAAGAAATTCCTGTGAGACTCGCTAATATCATGAAAGAAATTCACTTACTTCCTGAACATCTATTGAGAATGCCTAGTCTCAGAATTATTAATAATTTATATGTTACATCCTTTGAAGAAATAATAGAGTTTGAAAAGTCTGAAATCAGTAAAGAAACTTTGGACAAGTAAGTATTTATATTTAGAAATATCATTTTAATTTAACTATTTTACTTTTTTATAACTCTTTATTTTTAATTATTTCTACCAATGAAAGATAGATTTTTATTAAATTATTAGTGAATCCTAAAAGTTTTAATTTAAACAAAATACAAGTTCTGGTCTTTTATAGATTTTGTCAAGCATTAATTAAAATTCGAAATCGACATTCAGATGTAGTAGAAGTGATGGGAAATGGTGTTTTAGAACTTAAAGAGTCTCATGATGTGGATGCTCAGATGGAAAACAATATTCAGTATTTTTTAGACAGATTTTTTATGTCTAGAATATCGATTCGAATGCTTATAAATCAACATAGTAAGTATTTTTGTTTGTTAACTGTTTTAATTTAATCGAAAATGTTTAATTGATTTTGATTTTTAATTAATTGATTAAATATTGTAGCTTCTTTGTTCGGAGGTGATCTGAATGGTGATCATCGACACGTTGGTTGGATTGATCCTTTTTGTAATGTTGCTAGTGTTGTAAAGGATGCATATGAAAGTGCACGGCTTCTTTGTGATAAATATTATTTAGCGAGTCCAGATTTGATCGTTCGACAACACAACGGCAAGTTATTATGACATAGTAATAATTTTTGAATAGATAAAAAGAAAGCAGATAAGGAGAGATATCATATCTTCAATAATTTTTTTTTTTAATTTCGATTTTTTAAATTGAAAATCATGAATGTAAAGTAAACAGATCCTTAAAAAAATAATCTCACAAGATGACCAAGTCATCAAAGTTGAAGGAGCTTCAATATGTTGATAGAATGACTTTTTAATAAGAGATATTACTATTTATCAATTGGTCTATTTACCTTGACTTTTAAAAGCTCAAGTATCATTTCAATTGATCTAATTGATAAATAAATTCCAGAACTTGATCGAGGCAGTGAAATACGGATAGTTTATGTTCCAAGTCATTTATATCATATGCTATTTGAACTTTTCAAGAACAGCATGAGAGCAGTGATGGAATATCATGATGGTCATTCAGATTATCCACCTCTCAAAGTGACCATTGTTTGTGGAAAAGAGGATATATGTGTCAAGGTGTGATAGCCGTCGTTTATTATAAATTCGACACGTCTCTTTTAACAATCGTGTCTCTTACATTATTTAAGATGTCAGATCGTGGTGGTGGAATACCACGTTCGCAGATGGATTACCTGTTCAAATACATGTATAGTACAGCACCACAGCCAAGTAAATCTGATGCTCATACTGTACCATTGGCTGGGTATGGTTACGGTCTTCCTCTATCTAGATTGTACGCGAGGTATTTTCATGGTGACATAATCCTTTTGAGCTGTGAAGGATATGGAACTGATGCAGTTGTATATCTCAAGGTAATGAGGGTTTTTAATAGAGGAACAATTACTATGTATGTGCTTAATTTAGTAAATATTATTTTATTAGGCTTTGTCAAATGAAGCTAATGAATTGCTACCAGTATTCAATAAGACATCATCGAAGTTCTATAGGACACCATTGCCAACAGCAGATTGGAGTAGTTCATGTTCAGGTGGTATGGCAGCGAGGCAATTGAATGTGGGAAATAACAATGGACATAAATTACCCAATGGACTTCGAGTAAATTCATGCTAGCAATTTTTATATCATTAAAAGTATAAGTGAAGGTTCATTTGCGCTAATTTAATTCGAAAATTTCAGCTAAACAATCCTTTATATATATTTATATTTTACATAAATCTTTTTATCTTTATATCTATTTTATAAATCACACTAGAGAAAATAGCTTTGTGAAATTTTCAATATTTCGTTTTGCATGATTACAATTTATTTAAAATTTAAATATGATGATTATATCGAAATTTATATTACAACCAAAATTATTCTAATATTTATTTTTATATTTGATGTGTTTATGAAAATATGGCAATTTAAGAGAAGATTAATTTTCATTACGTCATTTAGCAGTTATCAAATAACTTGTTTTATGGCCGTGACACAAATTGTGAACTGTGATGCTTAATATTAATTTTTTTAATTCAATTGTTGACAATTGTTTATACAATTTTTAATGTACAGTGCATTTTAGAGACTGAGATATAAAGAGAAAACTAAATTAAAAATACTTTACGAGTGCTGTAAATATCATACAGCATCAGACTATCCATCAAACATTTGAAAATTCGTTTATATTATAATATTACTAAGGATCATTCTTTCGTAATTTATCGTGAAATTACAGAAGCATAATAGCTATTTGATAAATTTGAAAATATATCAACGTTATAGAAATTTAGGGAAACAATTTATATATAGCAGAACTGTTGAATAATCTAGAGCATAGAAGTTGAATTTGGAAAAAGAAATTTTTGAAATACAAAGAAACTTTTTCAAATGCATATGGTTATACATAGCCGGTCAACTAATTGTAAATAAAAAATTTAAAAAGTTACTTGAAATATTTACTATTTCTTTAGATTTAAATTGAAAATACATATTTTAAAATTCTAAGTTTAGTGTATTTATAATAAATATTTTATTTTAAAAAATAATGTTGAATTCTATGTACATGCTTGATTTAATTACTTGGATTGAGGGTAAAAATGAAAAATAAAAGAGTCATTTATGAATTCTACATTTTTTCTAATTCTAATATCGCAGTACAGCTAGAAAAGAAAACAAATTGCGAATAACATAATTATTGGTAATAATAATTAACATAAAATAGATCAAATGAATTAAAGCTGGTATCTACTGATAAATTAATATTAGAATAAATTCAAATTGAAAGCCACATGAAAAATATACAGGCACCATTTAAGAGATTTCATCTCTATAAAACTAATTTCTATAGAACAAACGACAAATTTTTTTGATGAATCCACCTCTACTTTTCTCTCAAGCCATAAATATATTATCACAAATATCTATTGAGATCTGAAAGACTATTTAAAAATGATCATTCGAGATACTTTTTGATTTTCACATTTATATCTTCAAAATTACTCCTCTAATTATGACACACTGGCAACAATTTTCAGCCATATGTTTTTTAATAAAACTTGGTTTAATTTTCATCTTCTGCAAACATGAATTACATGTACTATTTAATGTTTTTTTCCATATGTGACCTATGCTATAAAATTATATACAGCATGGCAGTGATATACACTTTTCCATATTAATTTAACATCTACAACCACATAAAGTTGAAATCTTTATTTACTTCGTTCTTTTTTCAAATTGATTATATACTAACTTGTTTTATTTATTGCCTTAGATTCATCGATGACTAATATTAAAAACGTAAAGTGAACCCCAGTATCTCTTAACTTTTTAATTTCACTTAAACCTGAATTTAATGAAGAATTTTATTAAAGTTATTCAATTTGCCTGATGAATTATATTTATGATCTCTTCATTTTATTTAGATAAATACGAAATTACAATTAATTTAAAAAATAATTTTAAAATATATCAAAATATACGATCTTAAAAAATTGAATTAAAGCGATAAAAATAGAAAAGAAAAACAAATATCCGAGGATAAATATATGTAATCGTTAATAACAATACGCTGAATAAGAAAATAACGTAATAATTTAGAAAGATCATTTTGGGATCACGTTGTGGCTGCGTTAAATTGTCAAATTCACTTTTCAGTGTAACTATACATTTTTTACAGAATACTTTTTCTTTTTCATTAAATATTTACTACGCAAATAATTCATTCATTTATTGTTTAGTATTATGATAATATTTTTCATACTCTAAATATATTCATCACAGTGCTACGGACACAAAAATGTGTTCTGTTTCAAATGTGTAAATAATATTTTATTCTTTATGATGGGAATACGTGTTTGATACATCACATTTGAGTACAAAAATTCATGTTATATATATATAGATTTATATTCTTCTTTTGCCAAAAATAGAAATATTCAAAAATATTTTATTTCTTCTCATCTTTCTCCCAATAACAACAAAAATAAACTTAAAAATACCAAATATAATGTAAATAACTTTGTATGTAATGTAAATCCTACGCATTCCCATCTTATATCACTTGAAATTTTTTTTTGCAACTCATAAATTTTTCCCCTTTGTTTCTTATTTTTTTAGACATAGAGTGCTACCCATGGCAGTATCATTCCACTAGTAGATCCTCGTGGCCTTTTCATTTAACAATATTTACATTTCATTAAGCAAATCGGTCATTGGAGACCACAAAAACAATCGACTTGTGTTCAAAACAAGTTAGTCCGAGTTTTATTTATATGATTTTTTTCAGGATTACTTTTATATTCCATACAATTAATTCAATTGACAATAAGAATTATTGACTGACTCCACATCAAATTTATCGTTTCATTTAATATATTTTGTATCTCTCTGATAGTTTTCATTATTTATTTTTCTGTTTTATTTTCAGCAGGATTGACTACATTGTTCTTCCAGTTGCCAATTATACTTCCACACTTACAGGAGGACTAGATAAGCGGAATGGTTGGCAGCAACCCCACGGAATTAACCACGAAGCTCAGCACCTTGGTGAAAATTTTGGATTCGTTGGACCATGAATGTAGCTTCTGAGCTCTTTTGGCGGTTCAGAACCGAAATCTGATGCTGTATCAACGTCTGATTTACGACAAATTATTATTCTTATGTCCGTGTGTAAATAAATCCGGCCAGATTTGCCAGACATAAATCTATTTAAAAAAACCAGAGAAAACAATAAATTAACAATATGAAAAAGATAGAAAAAAACAAATGAAAATGCATTATTTTCAAAGAGTTTTACCTAAGGTGAATGAGGTAGCGTAAAGTTTTATCGCGTAAAGTTCTTTGACGTAAAAAAGTATGAGATCGAGGTGGCATGTCTGACAGATCATAAAGAACGACAAACATTTTTACAACTGTTCCAAGAGGATTTAGTAGTGTTACTTGTATCGTACCACTTCTTGGTACTTGATAGCCTTTTTTTCCTAAATTAATATGAGCCTAAAAAAAGAAAATAAATGGTTATATAAATTATAAAAATATGTAAATAGATAAGAAATAAAATTAAAAAACTTTTTGAAATAAATAAATTGCATACTTACAAGATATGGAGTTGAAACTTTATCATTATCTCCAAGAGTATAAAAAAAAACTGTCACAGGGAGTTTGCGATGTTTCGGACAGAAAGAACCACTTGCACCAATTTCAGCAGTAAAACCATGAACTGTTGAAACTGGTTCTAATCGTCCATTGAGTGCAGACTCTTCAAAACTACCAAGGAGCGCATGACTTTGCGGTCTACTCCGTGATGAAGTTGATCGTTTTGGAGTTTCATCACCATCACCAGCATTTTCAACTTCACGGTCTGTCTCTTCAAGTGACACAGCTCCTGGACTTGGTGGTGTATTTAATTCAAATAAAGCACTGTAATAAATAACAAATAATTAACCCAAAAACATATTTTAGAAATTATTATAATATTACCTTCGTTTCGACGAAACTGAATTGAGACTACTGTCGTAATCGAAACAACAACTGCCTCTTCTAAGTGGAGCAGGACTAGAAGTAAGCGGCAAACCTGTTCTACTATGAAACACCATAGAAGCCGCATTTTCTAATGATCTTCTAAAACGTTCTTGCTCAATAGCTGAAGGAACTGTAGCTTTATCAACAATTTCATCATCAATAGACGAAAAATTATGTGATTCTTCTAACAATCTTTTATTCTTTCCTTCACTTCCATTAACTATTTCCTCATCGTCATTAATTGTTATACAATTATTATATCGATCTTTAATACCACGATTATTGGAAGACAAAAAACTTTTGTTTATTAAGCCTTCATGATTGTTCAAATCCTTAATCATGTAATTTGTACTATGGAAGTGTGAATTCCCTTGCATAATATTAGCTATTTCTTTATCATCTTCATCATTTAAAAGTTCTTTATTTCCAGTTTGCGGAAAATTAGTAAAAACAATTTTTCTTTTTACCCGGTTATTAATCATATTAATTTTCTGAGTATCACGTATCTCTGATAATGAATCATCACATTCTTTCACGTTAATTACCTCCGGACTTTCCCTTCTATCTTGATCCTTTCTAAACAGCTGTTTAAATCGATTGAGACGCTTGTTTAATACCGACGGTAAAAATTTGTCATCCTCACTAGAAACAATGGATGAATCCGAGTATTCATCAGACACACTTTGTGTCTCTTGACAAATATCATCATTTGACTCATCCGATATACTACGACGAGACCTAGTTCCATTAGAGATATCTGATAAACCTTTACGACCTCGACTAGTTCGTAAAATAGCTCCTAATAAAACATCAGCCTTATTAAAACTGTTTTGTCGATAGTCTGATGATTTTCCCAGATGTTTCACACTATCATTTCCATCGTCATTTTTATCAAGATCTTTTTTCGCTGATTTATTTTGATTTTTATAAATATTCGATGAATTGATCGAATCATGAGAAGTAGTAGAACTTTTACAAAATTGACAAAAACAATTTTCGCCGGACATTGATGATTGCCGGATCACCCGATGAATTGGACATACGTAATTCTCAGAAATATAATTTTTATCGATTATTTTATCCACTAAATTATCGTTTGGTATTTTTTCAGCACGTTCACGTTTTCTAACAGTTTTAGTTGGCGTACGTCGTTTGTTAGAGGGTGTTTTTGCTCTCAAAACTGCCAAAACTTCATCAAACTCACGCTGGCTAAGTTCCAGATGACAATTCTTGAACTTGACCACATGGGAATGACGAATTTGCTGTTGTTGTTGAAGGTGTTCATATTTAAAGTCTCTTTTTGATGATTTATTAACATCTTCCGTAGTATTATTGGCTGTGCTATTAAGAACTCTTCCCGGTACTTTACTAATCCAATCAAAAATTCCTCCTTCCTCTTTTTGAATTTTATTATTTGGTTCTTTAGGAAACGATAATTTAGACATTAAATGACTTAAATCTTTATTGCCATTATGACAATTTACTTGAGTTGGTATTGATTTCTTTTCCAATTTATAAAAAACTTGTTCATTCATTGGTTTGTTTAATTTAGAGTAATTTAGTTGTGCCGTACAGGCCATAGTAATTGGATTGTTATTCCGCGTTGTTGAATAATATGAAGGTCCAGGATTTAACTTATATAAATGACGTTCTGAAAAAGGATTTACAACAACATTTGGTTCACGTTGGGTTTCGAGTTTTTTCTCACCATCATAACATTGATCAAATGTCTTCAAATCTTGAGAATCAACAAAAGGCACAAAAAATTTTAATTTATTTACTTCTGAACTATTGGAATTATTCACCGATTGTTGCATTTCTGCTTCTAGTAATTCTGATGATGGTTTATATCGTTTTTCATCATTACCTTCGGGCTCTTCAAGGCTAACTTGAGTTTTAAAACAACGCTCAAGCGTTCCAGTACTTAAGTAAGATCGATTATCGAATCCTACTGCATCTGATCGGCGCTCTTTGTCTGTAAAATGTCTCTCGGTGTCAGTACAATCAGGAATTTTTATTTCAGTAACTGATGCCAGTGGAAGGCTACCGTAGTTGCTACAAGAACCCGCATCAGGTGGACCACAAGGTAGTGATCTTCGACGTTTTCTTTCTCCATTTGGCTTGATACATGGTGAAGGTGGACTACCATCTTCTTCCTCACATCGACAGTGGTGTTTTCCAGGTTTATTACAAGGCGTTTGAAGCCTATCGTCAACAAGATGTGGTAAAACAAGAGTGGAATCAGGTCGTGACGATGAAAGATTTTTCGTTGGAGTTAAAGCTCTAGCAGTACATTTGTCTTCTTGTATATCTTTGGCCAGATGTAATGGACAAAGAAGCGTAGGTACATCTTCCATGCGTGGCAACGCCCATACAGTTACTTTGACTGAATTTCCATCACCAATTGATGCTAAAGGAAAAATATGTTCCACTGGTATCTCTCGAAATTTCCTGAGATTGTCAGTACTATATGGGACGACTCTTGTCGCTACGTAGGCTGGTTTAGTACCGTTGCTACGTGACCACCAAGCTGCCACTTGACTGAAATGCAAACGGGAACGGACGGCCTGGTATAGACCCTGCGAATTCATCATCTCTGAACTCCTGAAAATTTCCATAGAACCATTTTAGTACTTCAGTTGGCATTTAAGATATTATGCTTTGAATAAAAATGGAATCTTCTAATTAAATGATCAAATTGCAAAAGTATTCTTATGCAAATATGAAATATATGTTTATGCAAATGAATCCATATGTATGAACAAGGCATGGACTCATCACATATCCAACGATTACAAAGACATTAAAAATCAGTGTATAATTCGGATAAAAATTTTTCTTAAAATAGTTAGATATTTTTGTAATGAGTGATTTTGATATTCAACTGCTTTCTATGTGAATGATCTTTAAATTATTACTGCTGAGGAATAAAATAAATTCAATATGTTTTTTTTAGATTGTAATCCATTAAGATTTTTTTAAATCTTCAATCTGATAATGATTGATTTTAATTATTGTAATCTTCAATAGCTGATTTTAAAATAAGCAGCATATGAAGAATAAATATAGGTGTTTTCTAAGATAAATAAAAATATATATAAATATTATCATTTCAACGTTTTTAAAATGTCTTAAAAAATCTACTCACGTGCTTGGCACAACTCCTATGCACCAATACTCTAGCAATAATTCGCACGAATGCGGCCATTGCGTGATAAGTGTGGACGGTATAGGAGAGACTGGATTGTTACAAGTTGCTGCTGCAAGTCCACATGGACAATCGCTGCACATAAAAACCTCAACACACAACTGTGCACCAATTGCAGTTCTGACTGCTATCTCCTTGATCAAAACGAGGTACCTGTTGCACTGCAATAAAAGATATTAATCAGTATTTTGTCAATCATTTATAGCATCATAAGCATCTCACACATACATCTAAGCCATCATAAGTTAGCATACTGACGTTTGATCTTCATAAATAAAATAAATTAAAGGAGAAAAATTCATAAATGAATTCTAAACAAATAAAATCAACCTTTTGTTTTAATTCATCCGGTCGAGAGGGCAATGACCTGGGAGCTTGAAGGCGGAGATTTTTAGACGCAGAGAAGCATTTTGAAGGGTAGTGGAAAATAAAACGAGGCTTAACGAGACGCGACGAGAAGAGCCAAGAGTGAAGGATATGACTCTTACCAGATAGTTGTCTTTTTCACACTCATGTTGCACAGGCACTGCTTGTTGAGGTGCAGCACAGTGCGGACCTTCTTTGTAACCACGTGGAGAACCCTGAATTCTCCCTTCGCATACTAAGACTCCAAGAGCTCGGACCACGCTCAACACACCTCCACGATTTCCACCGAGGCCGTTGTTCAGCCCGATAGAGGACGAGCTGTCCGCAACAGCACCAAGGCAGTGCATCCCTGTAACAATTGATATGTTAATTTTTATTCGAACGTGATTATTTGTTGAAAACACATTTTCTTGCTTCATACGATATCAAAAATCATGACATATTATTGTTTTTCTTTTGTCTGTTAATAGTTATTTCTTCAGTAATTATAAGCCTTGTTATATAAAATATCAGAAAATTAAAAAATTTTTTTAAAAGCAAAATTAAATTTTTTAATGAAATTTAATGAGATTTTTACACTTAAAAACATTAATTACTTTAATAATTATCATTTATTATCGTAACACAACTTTTAGAATAACTATGTATTTCATCAGTATTTCTTTATAACTCCAACATTTTTTATTTCATTGTAAGAAACTCAAAAAATGTTTTATTTAAGAAGTATTAATAATCATTAAAAATTTTTAATTACTTTAGATATACTATGACCTCAATGTTTATTTTTAAAAAGTAGTTTTATTCAATTACATTCAGAACTTTAATTAAAAAAATAAATGTTTCATATTTCATTTGTCAATCATCAGTATGGCATCATTATTAATAAATTAATTTAAATTAACACTATTAATGTATTTATTTGTTGAAATTGATTCTGTCACCTTGATAATGTTTATAAAAAAAATTTACCACGCAATTAATAAGCATTATTTTACTACGTAAATTACTTTTAACCGTTGATTAACTAATACACGATATAATTGATTCAATCCCAATCATTACTGAAAGGGAGGTTGATTTTGAATAAAGAACCCTAAGTTATATGACGAGGATTTATATAGAGTACGTTTAGAGGTGAGTGTACGATGCGTGTCATGCGCAAAATCATTTTTAAGTTATTTACACTGTGAAAATACGTAGACTATACAAAGATTATATTTGATTATTCATTATAGAAAAATTAAATCGGTTTTTATAAGGATCGAGCGTGTAATATATGTCAACTGTAAAATCATTTTTTTGGAAAATATCATGAAAGCACGGAGAAAAAAAAGAACAAAAGATAGTCTAAGGATTGTGATACTAAATGGAAATGTCTAAAGTCTGTTTTTTGTTGAATGAAACAAAGCAATCATATGGTTCGATTTGTCAATTGCTTGTTGTCATCAGTAGACTTTAGAAGTATCACTATACACTTCTTACTGAAGTTGGTAATGGATGTGGACAAGGTCGAATCTGCTTTGGCACGCGTTTCGCCCACTCTATCTTGTGCACGTGCGTCAAGATAATTCGTGAGATGGACGAATTTAGCCCTACAAAGGTAACCATTTATAGACTGGTCGAATGAACACAGCTCTGTATAATTCAATTACTGATCGTGAAATAAGTAATAAGTAAAAGTTTTCAGATTTCAATTCAATATAAGGATTATCTTATAATTTTTAATTATTTTTATATTATTTTAAAAACAAATAAATAGAAAAATAGTAATTTATTAAAGTAATTAATAAAAGTATAATTATATCATTAATTAGAAAGTTAAAAATCATATTTTTAACGTTTTGAAAAATAAAGATGACTTTATTTTCATCTTATCTTAAATCTGTGTTAATAAGTAGAAATTTAATATTTAACTGCACTCCAAAACTAAAATAGAGTAATTTTTACTATTTGCAAATCAAATACAATGGAAAGTTTATTTTTCAGATTTTCTCTATAAAAATAATATGTATATCCACCAGATTATGTAACTTTTTAAAGAAATTAATTAATAATGATTTTCATTGAAGTGAATAAGTTGAAAAAACAAATGGAAAAAGTTTTCAAGTATTACACTATATTAGAATTATAACAAGATTAAAAAACTATGAGTGCTTTGTTAAACATACAATATCTAAAGATTTCAAGATTAGAGTGGGTAAAAATAAAAATGCTAAGGGAGAAAAAAAGGGTTGAACAAACGGTTTATGTGACTTTCTTCTTGATTCATAACAAAGAGTAAGTTCAACGTCCTTATGTTAAATCTGGGGATGTTGTATAGGTGTATAATGGGTATATCAAGACTTATATGTTATGAAATAATATACAGTAAATATAAGTAATATATAACACGTCGATCTTTGAACCTACTTATTTGTTATCAATTTTTTTTTTATAGATAAATCCAAAGAGAGACATTGACTCCTCAGAAAACATAACACAATTCGTGACAGAATCGTTGCTTTGTTTATAAACTTCGCACGCTTCTTTCCAGTAGTTAAAAAGAGTTTTGGTGGGACGCTTATAAATACTAACCGTTACAAAATTTCAGACCTGATCCACACAAGCCTTGTCTGATCTATAACGTTTTTTATTTTTGTTTTTCGATATTTTTTGTTCCAGACTTTCTGTGATAGATTATAAGTTCAAGATGTTTTGGGTCCAATGAAGATTCTTGAGTCTAGAAGTCATTTGAATCCACACGACTTTTGTCTAGCTATTCATTTTGACAGCAATACAGTTTAATGGTTGATGATGCAGGATAAGGTGTTTCTTAAGGCCCTTGTGTCTTTTTTTCATTTCTCTGTCTCGTTCCTTTTTAGTAACAATTGCAATGAAAATGAAAAGAGTGCAACTGATGGTATACTAACAGTCATGAAGATATTGACCAGACGGACCAAATGTTGATCGGGCTCCAACACTATTAAACCAATTGAAGTTACTTTTGGCAAAATATCCAGATTCTTCATTTATATACCATGCTATTCTCCATGCCATCATAAAATTTCTTCTGCTACAGTATATCTGAGGAGAAAAGAACACGACTGTTTTGTCTATTTTCAAAACCAATAAAGCGGAGAAACGAAGCAGAATACATTAAAACAAATCTCTGAAAACGTCATGTAAGTGCATAGAAAAATGATTATTCATTAAATTGCGTAATAGAAGCGCACATGTTGTATCTCAGACTTGTGCGCAAGGACAACCCCCGTCTTTGTCTTAGACAAAAGCATAAAAATGCACAAGGAAATAAGTCAGTTGGTGCGATAGTGTCAAGGATTATCGATTAACCCGATATTTTTATCTTTAACAATGAATTATGTCAAAGTCATCTTCATCTAAATCTCTTCATTTATAAATCAATGCGAAGCCGTTATTTTTTAAAAAGTATTTTTAAAGACCACCATCACCAGAGCTTCTTGCAGCTTGACGACAATGTTTTAAAAAGAAGTGGGGAGACTGGTTGGCGAGGTCAGCTGAGTGTTTTGCTGATCAAACCCGCACAGCTGGGACGAGCCCTACAAGATGGCTGACAAACAGCTGATCAGTTACTTTACGCATGCGCCTTCTTCAATTTTCCTCAAACCTGCCACTTGAGGACAGGCATATATTAAAGCTACCTGAATAATCTCTTCTTCATTACAGACTATTACCAATTAAAATTTCAAAATGATCATCAATGATTTATATATTGATAACTGGTGAATTACTTAAAGATTTCTAATTCAGATGACAACTATTAAACTTGGGGTTAAAAGTGATGATGCAATTAAAAATCAACAGCAATCACCGATCCATCAAAAAGAAGGCCAAGCATAAAAAATAAAAATTGTAGAATCTTCACCTATTTGTCGATTGGATTGCATGCGATATAACAATTTCATCATAGTAGAAAATTGCAAGGAACATTGAACGTTAAATTTAAAAACAAAATACTCTTAACCCTTTCACTCGTGCCAAGAAAACGAAGCTCGTGTGAGTTTGTTTTCTCAACATTTTTCACTTCCCTTGTACGCTTTCACCTGATCAAATTGTATTTATTCTGAATAACGATAAATAATACATGATAAAACAAGGAATAAGCAAGAAGTTGATAAAATACATTACATTAATATTATGCAATGAGTTTAATAGAACAAATCAAGTGGAAACAATGAAAATTGATGCTTTGCTTTGGTAGTTTAGAACAAAATCAATGAAGTTTTGTTAATCGGACCAGTAGACCTCATTTTGAACAGTAATCGTAGACAAAGGAGAAAGGGAGAGGCTTCCAAAGAGAACTATAGTTGCTGGATCTAGGTTACCCGCATATTATGCAAGCTACCAGAGCTCGACATGTAATGCTGACACAGCTAGCCACATATATATATATATATATATATCATCATTTTTACGTATATATCAACATTTTCATATATAAATGTACTTATTCTCCTATTTAAATGGATGAAAATATACCAACACTTCCTTCTCCTGTTAAATCTAACTGACTTGGTTTTATAATTAATAAATTGAACCTGTAATCAAGTAAATTACATATAAAAGCATACTAATTATAAAATCATGCAAGGCTAAAATTAATTTGACCTTCAATATTGGTTGATAGGTTATGTTAATTAGAATGACTACAAAATAATGTGTTTCGTAACGCAATAGATTCAAGTTTGGCATCCATCTTTATCCGGAAGTGCGTCATTGAAATAAAAGAAAGACAAGATAGTTATGAAAAAGTAATACCTGGTCATTTTACCTTGATTGTAATTGATACTTTATACTCGTGCGAGGTTTCATCATTATTACACAAGCTAGTAAGTTAGACAAATGAATTAGTATTTCCTGAAAGATTATCATTCAAGTAAAAATTAATCAACCTCTTGCCGTATGTAATATTAAAATGTTTATAAAATAGCCAAGTATTGAGCAAAAGTGAAAGAGATTATGAAAGAAAAGTAACAGGTTATTATTGAAAGGAAAAAACAACAAATATTTATGAAAAATGATTCAAAAAATATAATTAAGTACAAAAACAAATAGTTAAGCAAATGATTTTGAAGATAACAAAGCACTGAATTTCGTTAGTGTAGGTCCTGAAAATTATCTTTCATCTTTTAGCATAATAACTGTCAAAATGTACGTTACAGACTTGTAAAACAAGTTAGAGTTTGTTCATAAGTATAATATCAGTTAAATTTAATACAAAGAAAAAAATGATGTATAAATAAATGCAGCTGCGCGTTGGTCGACACGTGCAAGTACTCTAAGACGGAAGAAATACATGGATAAATTAGAAATATAGCTATACAAACAGCTAGTTCTTCTATAATGTAGGTCAAGTCACTTATTCGCGAGTTTATCCGTATACTACATAACTATCCAGAATCTAGATTTAACGCTTGATCATTAAATTTTCCCCTATAATATCTTTCAAATTACAATGATTTTTCGTGAAAGCAACTATCAATTAGGAAAAGAAAGTAGTTAATTCACTTTCAGATTTTTTCAAGGAATTTTATTTTTATTTTCATGCCTTTGTGTTCTGATAATAGTGATAACAAAACTCTTGAAAAAATTAATTCAGGGGATTTTTATCTAAAAGTAAAGACGGAAACATACGCAAAGGGATTATTACCAACAATATTTGAATAGGCAATAGTCGTAATACTTTACTAATATTACACAAGCTCAAGAGAATTGAGTGTGCCAGAAGGTGCGCACGACGCTTTAAGAATAATGCACACACGAGTATCTTGTCCTTGATTTGAATGCTCATTTTTCTAACTGAGTCATTAATGATTATTAGAGACAATAGGTTATGTTGAAACTCTGGAAAATTCGGGTTTCATACAAAAGATTAATGTTAATATAAACTAAGAGAAAGAGAATATAATTCAAACAGCAATATGGTGTCTTATAATATTATTCAATGCATTCATGTTCAATTTTCCACCATGACACTCGGATCAATTACTATTTTCATTTATCATCTAAGTCAATTAGATTATTAATGATGGATTAATTTTAAAATAATAAAAAAAAACCTGGTAATACTCACCGATTAAAAGAACCAGCCGAGAAAGCACGATCCACCGAGCTCGGAGTCAATCTTATAGGTCAAATAATCTCATTAAAATTCATTATCACGAACATTTTCTCATACGTTGTTAATTCACTTAATTTATTACTTTTTATTTTATTAACGTTAATTATTGACAGTATTGAAAAACTAAAGGCAATAATCAATTTAATTGTCTTTTGGAAAAATTTAAGAAGAATATACCAAGCTTGGGAGCTAACCACCAGTCCAAAAGTCTGTTGCCAACTGGCTCAGTATACTTTTACATATATATACTATAGTGACAGTTCTCCACAGTTATTCACTGTTGCCATTCGATTGACATAGATCAACCAAAAACTCTCTAGAGTATTATTATTCTGTTTTCATTGTGTTTGAGAAATTTTACTTAAATATTCAATCTAAATTATTATTAAAAAACATAAAATTGATTTTAATCAGAAAATTAAAAAATTCTCAAAAAATGTTTGGTGGATGAATAAAAAATTTTCTAGTTCTTTTCTCATACAGTTGGTAATAACCACGATCATATGGCAATCAGCTGTGCGAAATGTTATGTATCGATTGAATTTTGACATAAAAATTATGTATTAATATTTTAAAAATCCGATAAAATCGATATAAGTTTAAATAAATATAAAATGAAACTATAACTGAATGTTTCTCAAAAAGTCATATATTTACACATAGTCATTAAAATATGAATCAAAAATACACATAAGAAATGTTTACAAAATGAATTATTATATTGATAGATGAATTAATAATTTTAATAATTACACAGTATCATAACATCTTGAATATTTGCAAATTTTAATATAAAAATCATTTTTTCCCTGATTTTTTAATACCTCCAGTGACTAAAGGTCCTTTTTGACCAGCTTTCTTTGCAGCTTCTGCCATGGCTTTTTGTTGTTCTTTTTGCTTTTGTTTAAATGCAATGTCATTTTCATCTAACTCTTTTGATTCTTTTTTAGGAGCTTTCAGAGGCTTTTTTTTTCCACCTTCTCTGCCAGACATTTTGTGAATAAACCTCGAGAATTAACGAAATGTATTGCAACTTTGAAACAAAATATTAACCTCAAATAAATTTATTATAATATATATATAATAATAACTTAAAAATATCAGAACAGGTACCTGTTAAAACGTTGTTTAATTCAGGACAAAAAATTTTTTCAACAATTTAGTATATTAGTCAATAATAAAAATGCCAAAAACTTTACACCTTTTCGTCAAAATCTTTTTACACGTAATATTCAAGTGGTACACTGACAGAAATTTTTTCCGGTGGCGAATTATAGAATTTACTTGTCCCCAGTATAAAAGTGATAGGTAAAAAAGTTTCGGAAGGCAGGTAAAGAAAGTACCTGGAATCAGTAAAACTTCGTTTTAAAATGAATAAAAAAAATACTGAGTCTAAATACAGAATATACCACTCCTGAGTAGACTACAAGCAGTTGAAGAAGTAATAAGTATACAAGTTTTATGAAAATAAAGTACTTGTATTTAAGTAGTCTTTCTACTTGGAATCAGTATAATGTGAGCCAATGTATTTTGTTTATCTCAAGTAGGTAGATAATAAAAGAAGATTACAAAGTTTACTTCAGTTGATAATATAGTTTTCTTACACTGAGGATCTTCCTTACTTACCACAAGTGTATTTTATACGGAGATCCCGTATAAAGCGTACTTATGCTAAGTATAATGCTGTTTTACACTTCAAAAACCATGTTCTCACATTATGAATCCTTTTTTATTAATAAGAAAATACTTGTTACTTGATTCAAGTATGTCAATTCTTCACTGCAAGTATATTATATACTTAAATTAAGTATACGAAGTACTCATGCTAAAATTTTTTTCTTATTAAATTTAAAAATTTCAAAATATAAATAATCATATTAATAATAAAAAAGTTACTGTTATACCCATTGGTATTGGTCAATTTAAATTAGTGACCATTACTGATGAAGTAATTTAATGATTAAATATTCAGTAATTAATAAATAGATGAAAAGTAATCTTATAATAATTACAACAATTACTGTTGTACTTTCAAATACGTGGAGCTGCTACACTTACACTGGGCCTGTTAAAAGTCTAACTCGTAATATAGCGCTCAGAGATAAATTATTGATTATAGAATCTTTAATAATAATTAATAATTAATTGCATGTCTATTAATTAATTCTAAAAATGAATCGAAATTTTACAGTGATTGGAACGATTATTGTGGTACATTTCAATACCTCAAGCTGCTGCAGTAAGACTTGTTAGGAGCTTTAGGAGTTTATCTTTCAATCCAGCGTTCAGCTATAAATCGCTTAATGTTAATATATAATATTTAATAATTTATTGCTGAGCGCTGAGTTTGGAGATGAACTTTTAACAGCAAAAGAGTCTGACTGCAGAAGACTGCTCGAGATATTGAAATATGCAACAATATTTGTTGCACTTATGAAAAAATTATGATTATCTCTATGAATTAATGATTATACAATCAATCATTTATTTATCATCATCAAAGGTATTATATCGAATAATTTATTTCTGAGCGCTAAGTTGGAAAATAAACACTCTACAGGCATAGTCTAACTGGAGCAACTTGGAGTTTTTAAAAGCACAACACCAATTTGTTGTTATTATCATTCAATTATGATTCTTTCTCCAAATTAATCAATGAACATTAAATAATTTTATTATGATTATTAAAGATTTAACATTAAGCGATTTATAGCTGAACGCTGGATTGAAAGATAAACTCCTAAAGCTCCTAACCAGGGTTCGGCATTAATATTTTTTTTTGTAGTATTATAGGGCAAAATTATCAATTACTTCTGTAATGGATAATTTAGAAAAAAAAAATATCAATTATTGAATAATCATTAATATCGAAAATAAAATTATCAATTACAGTATTAATTGATAATTTTATTTTTAAAATTATCAATTGATAATGTAATTTGTAATTTAATGGATCCAATTACAAATTAATAAAGTAATTTGTAATTTCGTAGATCCAATTACAAATTAACGGAGTAATTTGTAATTTTATAGATCAAATTACAAATTACTTTTGTAATTGATAATATTTTTGGTGAAATTACAAATTACAGGAGTAATTTGAAATTTTTTTTGCCAAATTACTAAATACAAAAGTAATTTGTAATTTAATAATTTAAATTTCTAAATTAATAATTAGTAATTTTACTAAGAATTAATTAAAATTTTTATTTATTTTGTGATGAAAGCATCACGTTCTCATAATAAGACAAAAAAAATGTTTTAATATGTATATCAACGATGCAACTTATGGTTCAATAATAAATTATGTGCTTTAAAGTTCACACATATATTTTGACCATAACACATGTGTTTATAACAACTTATTTATGTTTTAATGTTCGTCAAGATGTTTTAACGTTGAATCATACAATTAAACGTTCTAACTTATGTTTTAATGATTAAATATATGTTCTAACGAACTTATTCATGTTCGAATAGTCGAATATGTATTCTAATGTTCCGGTTTATGTTCTAATAATGGAGAATGCATTCTCAGAATTTTTTTTAATGTTCTAATCGTCCAATATTCGTTCAAATGTTCTAAATTATGTTCTAATGAACAAGAATATGTTTCAACGTTACATTATGTCTTCTAACGTTTCCACATATGTTCTTATGATGAAATATGTGTTCTTATGAACTTATTTATGTTCAAATGGACGAATATGGGTTCTAATGTTCCAGATTATATTCCAATAAACTAGAATATGTTCCAACGTTATATTATGTATTCTAACGTTTCCACTTATGTTCTTATGATGGAATATGTGTTCTAACGATCTTTTTTAAGTTCCAATGAACAAAAATATGTTCCAACGTTATATTATGTGTTCTAACGTTTCGACTTACGTTCAAATGATTAAATATGTGTTCTAACGAACTTATTCATGTTTAAATGGACGAATATGGGTTCTAATGTTCCAGATCATATTATTAATAAACTAGAATATGTTCCAACGTTATATTATGTATTCTAACGTTTCGACTTACGTTCTAATGATTAAATATGTGTTCTTACTCTCTCGTGTACGTTGTGATAATCAGAGATATTCGCTTATGCTGTATAAAAAAGTGAGCTATGCTTGAACTCGAACGCAACTTTGAATTTTATTAATGATTATCTTATGCGAATATTCATCTATTATACGATTGTCGATGATCATTAGTTCTAGTCTATACTGCATATAATTATGACCATTTATATCTCGCTCTTATTATTCGAGTAATGTCTTTTTTTTTTACATTGTTAATGATAATTATTGTTTTTTTCAACACACATTTTTGATGGCAAAAGTTTGCAAGAAAGACGGCAAATAAACTGGAGTGATTTATTACTAAAAGATGAATAAACACATAAATTCTTGAATAGTAATGAAAATAGGGAGCAGCCCGGCCGAAGACTAGGGCTATTTTGTTTGTAGTCTATGATTACTCCGATAAATACGCAAGAATCAAAGTGGTTGCATGCGATTTAAAAAGTTCGTTATCTTGACAAAAAAATTTGTCTGCAATATTAAAAAAATAGTGGCTGTTAGCTCTCCACAATCTAAACAATTGATTGAAGAGATTTCCAGCTGTACCCACGAGGAGGACGCCACTTTTACAGCCAAAAAAATGTTTACCTACCTGTTCCACGTAAACTTTCCTTGATTGGAAAGACACGTACTGCTTGTGTACCTATGGATAATTTAAAAGTTATTAAATCTAACGAAGAATTCGAATTTTTTTTTTTTTAGTGTCGCTATGCAGACAATAAGTTTTTTAGTGTCGCTATGCAGACAATAAGTTTTTTAGTGTCGCTATGCAGACAATAATTTTTTTTTGTCGCTATGCAGACAATAAATATTTACTTTGAATTCGATGACGAATTGCATTTAATAAGTACTCGTATTTCAAAATTATTATCCGTCAGTTTATTGTATTTTGGTAAATTATACATTGTTGCATAACTGAATAATCTTTCAACCGCAGCAGAAGATGGTAACGGAGTATTGAATTTAATAAATACTTCTCGAATTTTTGGATATTTATTTAATAATTCCAAATCGGTTCGTCTTTCCGATAAAAATTTTTGAAAATCGGCTTCTTGGTCATTCGTTCCAAAGGGTTCTACACTTTGTACTTCATCATCACAAGAAAAATCAAAGAAGCTGTCTAATCCAGC